TCGATCTTCATTTTATTATTATAATTATTATTGGTGGTAAGTGAAGTATTTTTTTATTTTGACACTTCTGTATGGCATAAAACGGAGAAGAAAGCGGCCTAGTAGAAGTAGAGTTTCAACATTCACAAGTGGTTTTAACAGGCTAGACTGAATAAATTATATTGATTTAATTTGATTTCATATAGAGTCGAAATTGTATACTGAGGTCTACAGTCCCTGGAAGTTGTAAAAAAATAAACTTCTAGATTAACATGAAAAAACCATTCACACCGCAAAAAACTCCCATGTCGGAACTGTCAGTAAAATTATTGTCGATCTATAACTATAATTTAACATTGTTTTACAGTACAAGATCAAGAAAAATCAGAAAACTACACATTTGTTATTCATAACAAAGTCAAAATAATCTTTATTCAAAGAAACTTTTTAAAAGTACTTTTGAATCGTCCAATTTTTTTTCCCTACCACTCGTTCAGGACGTCTTTTGGCTGATAAGAAGAACGAGCAAGAAACTTACCAGCTCTAAAATTATAAATTGATCTAACTGCTCTTTTCTAAAGCACAAAAGCATTTGTAAGTCGGTAGCATTTCCTTACAATAAGATTCCGTACAACATTACACTATGTAAGTACCTGAAGTATACTAATCTGGCAGTATCTATGTCAGTTAACCCACGTATCTTCATTACGGCATATACTGCAGAGCTAAGTCTCTTCGACAGTTAATCAATATGCGAACCCCACTGTAGTTTAGAATCTAATGTTATTCCTAAAAATACTGTTGTATTCACAAACCCACGTTATTATCTTTTATATTCATTTATTTATTTATAAATGGTACACAAACAGATCATAATCAAAAGGGAAACCTAAGTACAAACATATTTAAAGTATTTGGACTAGACTATAATCTAAAAACAGTGTACACAGCATGAACAGCATTTAACTTACAACATGAACAGATCCTTAAATAACTTTTAGTATAGAGTAAATTTAAATATTAATTGGTGTTAATATTATAATTATGGAAATTTGTCTGATTTTATTTTTTATATTTTGATATTTTTTTATTGAAAATATCGACATATCCATAATTACGATTCAATTCGTTATATGTACGACACATTCTTACGATCGGATTATAAAAAGACTTATTATTTATGTAGACTTGGATTAAAAATGTGTTAGAGTAACAAAAAGAAAGTAACCCAGGTGAATCAATAAGCGAATGCACTATTTTATGTAGACAGATGAGGTCATATCTATTGCGGCGAGCTTCCAACCGAATCATACCAAATTTTGTCAACCAATCCCTATAGCTATTAAGTGACCGACCAAAATTATATTTCCCTGAAACATAGTCATTGCACTCTCTCGAATGCAACCACGTGTACAGTATAATATGGTGACCAAATGAGACAACAATATTCCAGTACGCTTCTGATTAAACTAGAATAAAGGAACGACACACTACTAGGACTCTTAAAATCTTTAGATGTCTTGATTATAAATCCCAGAAGCCTATTAGCCCTCTTGGCCTTCATATTTGTATATCCTTTTTTAACATTAGGCAGTACAAATTTTAGCATTTTGTTTTTCCTTCATTACGGAGAAGATTGTTTACATAAAACCAATGTACTGCTTTAGCGATAGAATTGTTTACATCTTCATCTCTTTTAATTTTAAATAAAAGTGAAGCAAACTAAACTATTTCGTGATTATCCCTTAAGAAATAAGGCAACTTATTTACGTAAATTAAATACAAGAAAGGACCAAGTATTGAGCCCTGCGGAACACCATTCTTAACTTTAGATCCAGGGGACCACTTGCCATTGATATCAACTCTCTGCATTCTGTCAGTCAAATATGGCTCAGTAAAATCCAACGAGTTATCTCTAAATCCATAATAATGAAGGTTCCTAATCAATGTTTATATAGGTAACAGAAAACAACTAACGCTTCCCGTGAATCCTCCCAGGCATTAAAAATTTCTTGTATTAATTCTACACCGGCTTTGGTTGTTGAGTGACCCCTTAAAAAACCAAATTGTTTTCAATTCATAAGGTTGTTCTTGTAAAAGTATGTTTGTATTTGATCTTACTAAACGTAGGTCACACCGATCTAAAGTAGGATCAGATGTGCTACCCGAGTTATATAAAGGAATAATTTTACTATATTTCATGATTTCGGGAAAAATACCATAATCAATACATTCATTAAATATATAAGCTAGGATTCGAGCTATTGTCTCAATTACCGATTTAGAAACATCAATAGAATTACCCATTAATCAGCGGTTTTCTTTCTCTTTAGCCGATTAAATTATTTTATTATATCTTTAAAATCAATGTGTTGAATCTTAAATTGTCTATTGCAATTATTTAAATTTACCTTTAAAATAGATATAGCATCAGTGGAAGACAAATTCAAAGATTGTGTAATTAAGACTGGAATTTCAGTAAATAAATTTTCAATTACTGTAGCAACTTCATGATCTGATGCTACTTTTTATTATAAACGTTTAAATTAAAATTTATATTCCGGGATTTTTCTCTTTCAGTTTAACTATTTACGATATTCCACGTCATTTTAACTTTATCTTTTAATTTTTGCATTCAAATAATTACAATTGGCTTAACGACACATTTTTTTAATAAATAAGTGTAATTCGTACATATTGTTTGAATTCCTCACTTGTAAAAGTTATAGAGTTACTAAAAGTATTTTTTTGGGTCCTAATTTATGACATAAATAGGGAGCAAATTCTTATTTATGTAAGATGTTAATATTAAATATCGATACGGAACGCTCAGAGCGCCATTCCGGCTTGATGTTCGCCGGTTTTTACTTATATAATGATAAATTCACTGATCCTGATAATCCTGAATTATTAAAATATATCAATCTTAATTAAAAGACACAGAGTATGACATAGGGCGTTCTTGACATTACCCAATTCTAAAAATTGCAGTTTATATATTTCCATTACATTTTATTGATATTTTCGTTGTCAGTAACACAATGGTAGCAAACATTTGTTACATCTGAGTAGAAATTAGTCAAACCAATACAAATTGGTAACATAGATATATATATCAAATAGCCGTAACGAATCGAAGCGTAGCATGCAGATTCGTAGCGTTATGATTGGAAATGCACGTACGTAGTACGTTCATGGAAAACTTTGTCCGGCAACCTGGCATCCACCGCCCCTCCTTTTTGTTGCTCTAGGTAATTGACCTCCCTATAGATCGGTTCCTGCTTTCCTAATAAAAACAAAGTCAACCCGCCGCTTGTATATGTTTGCCTGAATGTGATTTTTAGTGGATTTTACGTAAGGATGACGACTAATTTTTTTCTTGTACTTCAGGTAGATTTATGGAAAAATATATTATTTTTTTATTAAATTAAGATAATGAGCATTAAAGTTGAACAGTGGGAACTCAATACATCGCACCTTTATTTAAGTTTAAGTCACAAATGATTATCTCTCTTTGTCACATATAATTTTGTCATTGGGATTGTAGAGTAAATTATAGAAGAATTGTGAAGCACTAGGTCCGTGTCTTAATAGATCTGGACCAAAGATTACAATATTTGGACGAACAGTCCGTGTACCGTCTCGTTATGTTTAATATATTATCTGTGTAAAAGTGCAGAACTCACTCTTGACCTTTTTTCTAATCTATTATTTATGAAGTATATTTTTTTTGGTTCTTTTTTTTTAGCCGCCATGTAAGAATTTCAATATATTTTACAAGCTTGTGTGAAGATTACAGTTTAGTTATTTTAATTGTATTTCAGTTTTATTAAACAATTTATAATTTATAATAGCGTGTTTTCTATGCCAAGGGCCATCATCAGACTCGCGCTATAGTTGTTTAATTAAAATGTAATCTATCTATAAAAATAAATAATCTATGTTCATATCCGAGTTATTCCTATCAACTCTTGACAGGAAAAAAAAGAAACTGAAACGCACCAAAGAGTAAATTTATATACCGCAAATTCTTGTTCCTAGGCCTTCCTTATTGACATGGATATATTATTTTATAGATTCTCGGTAAGGTTTCAACGCTCTTTTATCTTTGTGAATGCGAATTATCGTTCATATTTGTATAAGCTACTACGTTTCTGCCGCTTAACTGAAGCCTGGATTGTCAAAAGTCATAATGAAGGCCTGAATGATATGTCATATGTTAGGCGGAGATATCAACTACTAGCCAACTGCAAACCAAGTAAACCAAAACGTATGATCTAGGTACAGTATACACTAAACCTAGGGTTGGACAAACCAAGTTGGATTGGTGTGCTGATAATTGATCTGCCAGCCTGAGATAACATTTGGGGGTTTTTTCATTAAACTTTCATGTTTGTTTTAAAGAGTCTCGTGTTTACTTTTGTTTGTTCCACCTTTTTGATATATCGTCACAAAGTTTCAATTTTCACAATAATTTTAGATGCATAACACGGGTGGTGGGACGGTGGGACCAAAGATTTACTATAATTAAGGGTTAAACCAATATGTATGTACACGTACTCTCACACGTAGCAAAGCGTGTGTGGCACACATAGGCCCAGTTTGTCTATACAATAATGTCATTATAAATTTATAATGAGAAATGTCATCGATTTTTATTTTTACCTTCAGAAAGACCTGTATCCTAGCACACCCCCTACCAATCTGCAAGGGGCCCAACACGCGGGCGCAGTACGGGTTCCTAAGTGGATTGGTGTCATCCATAATGAATACCACATAGACGGCACACCGTTTAAGCTATTGTTATTGTCGTCAAGAATCTAGTACAATATATGAGTAACTCAGTACTCCGAATGCGGCGCGTTGGAACGTGCCTTCACACGTCCTTAGTACACCGAAGCGAATTTTTTGAAAAAGGCAAAAATTAAAACATGTCATAACTTCAAAACTTTTTTCTAAATGTAAAGACCACACAGAAACGAAGCTTCAAGTGATTAGAAAGACACATTGATATTCCTCATGTGTTCCTTTCATATAATTAACCCAGAACATATCTATGCACAGAAGAAAAAGAGAACAAACTAAATTAAAATTTCGTTAAAACGTGGGTGAGCGAAATTTCGATGTATGAGTTTTTGAACCATTTCGAGGTGAATATTTTAAAGCCATCTTTTAGGTTTTTAGAAAGATAGTGCATCTTTTAACCGACTTTAAAATCGAAAAGGATGAAGTTATAGATATGTTCGGTGATATAAATTTTTTTATAGTTTATAATAAAAATATAATAAAATAAACTGAAATATTATCTACGGAAATATAACTTTTTTATATTAAAACTTTTTACATAATTTGAAAAAGTCTAGTGTCCACTTTTGTTTGTTCAACCTTTTTGATAAATCGTCACATAATTTTAACTGTCACAATTCAAATTTTAAAATTTAAGCCTTTGGAGACTTTCTAAAATATTTTGTTTTGCTCTCAGTTTGAAGTTTGGTGCCGTTCTGTTGGGATCGGTTGAATAAAAGTAAGAAATATTTATTTTTAAGTAATTTTAAAATGCGTGAGTGCATATCTATACACGGAGGACAAGCGGGTGTACAGATTGGAAATGCCTGCTGGGAGTTATATTGCTTGGAGCATGGAATCCAGCCTGACGGGCAGATGCCCTCAGATAAGACGGTAGGCGGTGGTGACGACTCCTTCAACACATTCTTCAGTGAGACCGGAGCAGGAAAACACGTGCCGAGAGCTGTATTCATAGACTTGGAACCGACCGTCGTAGACGAAGTGAGAACCGGAACCTACCGTCAGTTGTTCCATCCGGAGCAGCTCATCACGGGGAAAGAAGATGCCGCCAACAACTACGCACGCGGTCATTATACGATCGGCAAGGAGATCGTAGATCTAGTCCTCGACCGCGTACGTAAACTCGCTGACCAATGTACCGGCCTGCAGGGGTTCCTCATCTTTCATTCGTTCGGCGGTGGTACTGGTTCTGGTTTCGCCTCCCTTCTTATGGAGCGTCTCTCTGTCGACTACGGCAAAAAATCAAAGCTAGAATTCGCCATCTACCCCGCCCCTCAAATCTCCACAGCCGTCGTAGAACCCTATAACTCGATCCTAACGACGCACACGACACTAGAACATTCCGATGCCGCCTTCATGGTTGACAACGAAGCTATCTACGACATTTGCAGAAGAAACTTGGACATAGAGAGACCTACTTACACTAATTTAAACAGACTGATTGGGCAGATAGTGTCATCTATAACAGCGTCACTGAGGTTTGATGGCGCTTTGAATGTAGACTTGACAGAGTTTCAGACAAATCTGGTGCCATATCCACGTATTCATTTTCCACTAGTAACATATGCGCCCGTGATTTCTGCAGAGAAAGCATACCATGAGCAATTGTCTGTGGCTGAAATTACGAACGCCTGTTTCGAGCCCGCAAACCAGATGGTGAAGTGCGACCCTCGTCACGGAAAGTATATGGCTTGCTGCATGTTGTACCGAGGAGATGTGGTGCCAAAAGACGTGAACGCAGCGATCGGGACCATTAAGACAAAACGTACGATCCAGTTCGTAGACTGGTGCCCGACTGGATTTAAGGTGGGTATAAACTACCAGCCACCGACGGTAGTGCCAGGTGGAGATTTGGCCAAGGTGCAGCGTGCTGTATGTATGCTGTCAAACACGACTGCCATAGCAGAGGCATGGTCGCGTCTTAACCATAAATTTGACCTGATGTACGCCAAGCGAGCCTTCGTACACTGGTACGTCGGTGAGGGCATGGAGGAAGGAGAGTTTTCAGAGGCTCGTGAAGATTTAGCTGCCCTTGAGAAGGATTACGAAGAAGTGGGTATGGACTCCGGTGAGGGCGAAGGTGAAGGCGGCGAGGAATACTAATTTTTTTTGTTATTTATAGGACTATTTCGTTTCATTTAGGGCTAAAATGTTGTAATTATGAATGTAGCAATGTTTAATTTAAATTGATAAATGATAAATAAAATTATGAAAGTGATCTTGTACTTTGGATTTTGTTTTCCATTTTATCGTTTTAACATTCCTAAACGGTACAGTAGTGCTGCTGCAGGCATGCCTAAGTTATGAAAGTGGATCTGCATATTTTGGTCTGTTATAAATTGTCATTGGCTAAACATAACCATTAATGCGGTTAGAACTGTTAGACTTCTTCAATCACTGAATATCCACTGGGCCAAATCTATTAAGGATCAAGTGATTTTTCTTTAAAATATATTCATGAAATTCATTATGGATCTGTGCCATGATTCAAGTGCTATCTGTACAATGGCTTTCTGAGATTAAAGGTCTCATTAGATCCCTTTTACTTAATTTATAAATTATAGATGGACTATATTCTATGATATTTATTAACTTATCTCACAAAACAAGTTACAGTAAACATAATATAAATAAATGTATACAATTAGAAATCATCCATACGGTAACTCTTAAAAAAATGAGCATAGTATTAGATAACATAAGAATCTCACTTGATCCCTATTGGGTATCCATAATGGCTGATATTGTGGAATGTGGAAGCTCTGGATTTTGTGGAGCATTTGCAGTTCCATTGAACTATTGAGAAGAACAAATCCCAGTAGTTCTAAAATGGAATTGAATATCGGATCTACCGGGATCAGGTGGTAACTACTTGCAGACGCTTTAAATTTCCTGAAAATTAAACTTAATCTTACATATAGTCTAATGATCAGTTTTTATCCTGTACCAGTCTAAGTGACTAAGTGTACTTCGTATCTCTTACCGTTTAACCTTCCCAGCCCTCTTACTCTTGAACGAGATCGCGACTCCTGTTTGGTTCACCAGGATGACTCTGACGCTGGTGTACCCAATAAAGAGTACGAAACGGCACATTGCAATATCGATCAGTTGCGATTGCGTTCGAGATATGTGTTCGTGAGTAAAGGGGCCAGACTACGACAAACAGTTCAAAAACAAAAATCAGCTAAATCCGCTCAGCCGTTCTTGAGTTTTAGCGAGACAAACGGACATCAATTTAGAAAAGATTATTATGAGCAAATAAACAAAATCTCCTTTCCTAAAACTTTCATCAATATTCTTATAAGACTTTCATAAAAGCATGGATTATTTTCTTGATTAAGTAAATCTTTTAAGGTAAGTTTTATTTCTAACTTTGAAACAAAAATGTTTTGTTGATTCACATCTATTGTTTACTTACTAGGTATCATAGATTGTTTCTTAGAGTATCTCGATATTAGATATCAGTGTGTTTATCTCATGTGCGTTGCAATCCCTATATTCATGTGGCTACCACGTGGACTACTTCACTTGTGACATTAAATGTATAGAGAATAACAATCCAAGATACATATTTTACAAATAACAATCCAAGGTAAATATCTTAAAAATTTCACCTTGGTTTTAAATCTAATTTATTGTAAACCACATGTTATAATTTCATTTTGCAATATCTTAATTCTATGCTAATTAAAAGTAGATGTTTCTATTACAGACAAGTACAAGGCTTATAAAAAATACATATTAAAAGATGATGAAGCGTTAATTTGTAAATGGGGGGTGGGTAGCACCCCCCAGGCTTCAGGTAAAAAGAACTAAACAAATAATGTTTTAACAAAATTTATTTTATTTCTCAGGGGGTGGGTACAGATTCGCTCGCTGTGATTCTTGTATCTCGAATTAAGAGGACTTAATTTTAAATAGAATAGGGAATTTAATGTCGAGTTCGCGGTGTCAGTGTGTCACGGCCGGGCAGCGGCTGGCGAGGGTAGACCCGACGTCAGCTCCAGTCAGTAGCACCGGTGAACAACGAAGACTCGACACGTAGGTTGCGGAGTAGCGTAGGTGAGGCAGGCTCCGATGGAAGAACCCCGATTTCGGGGCTATGTAGCACACACTTAAATATATTAGAAAATCACTTTAGACAACTGAAGTATTAATGAGCGAGAGGTCGTTTATATACTATTTCACCATTATTAGCCGCGGTGCGCTCCCATGTCTGCCTACCTCCATACTATTATCGTACCTACAATTATTTTTATTGATTATTTTTCTTTAAATTAATTTGTATCAAAACGAAAAAGGAATGAAAACATGCAAAAGACAAACAGTTTATTTAGAAAACTGTTACAATAAATCAGTATTTATACGAAAACCTTTAAATAAATTAATGTTTGCAATCATTTCTGCTATAAAGAATTTTTCTTGAATCCGAATAATAAGATTAATTTAATTTTAAGACTTTTTCAACTTTATCAACACTGATATTAAAAAATTACTATTCCGTTGTTTGGTGTCCATGTAAGTAAGTATATTTAAGACTATCTGTGATGTAGATTGGTTGAAAAAATGAACTTAAAATTCTGTGAAAAAATCGATAATGAGTGTATACATACAATTTTTATCGATTTTTTCGTAAAGTACATCAAAAAGGTGTAATATATTATAAAGATATTGATAAATGAAACACAATTAGTTACTCACTTTTTATATTGACACACGTTTAAATTTACTCACAGAACACTTCATATGAGTTTAAGTTCTAAACGCTGGCGGTGAAAAGTCGTGGCGGTTCCTAAGGCCCAGCGAGCCGGTTTCGTTGGTGCTCGACTGCACTTTGTTGGCAAGCGACCTGCGGTGTTTGTGTAATAATTCATTAATATTACAAAGTTATAATATGCGACAAAACTTCACTCAGAATTCGAAACTACTACCTATTATTTATTTATAACTAGCGAAGTAGGTAGAAATAATTTTTATAATCGATCCAGTAGTATCAGAGCCTAAAGAATAATCAGTACAACTAAAGCTTGATGATAAACAGGGACGCCTTTAACAAATATTAATAAGTTTAATGATTTCAAACAAACAAATATATATACTAAATAAGCTATAGGGAGCAAGTATTAAGTACTATTTAATATAAGTCACGTTAGTATCGCAATGACGTCAAATAGAACGAGGCGGATAAATTAGCATTTTCTTTAAACTGACACAATACGAAAAACCGAAAGAGCGATTCAAATATTTTTTATTAATGTGAACAAAAACCGACGAGGCAAAAATATAATAACATAAAATGGGTGACCAAAATGTAACATCTAGAGCTCCGTGCATCCGAAAACACGTGAAGCCGTTAGTCCCGGCTGCATCTTCAGTCATTTATCATAATTAGATTAGTTTGGTGTTTTATTTTCATTTGCAATGAGTTTATGAGACTTTTATCAAATTTGTTCAGCATCATTCTCAGTGGGAGCGTGACTCCAGCGAGCCATCTACTCTAAATTATTATATAAGTCTCCAGAGGATGAAGAGACTTTAATATATTTTTTCTTTTCAGATGTTTCCAGTAAGATTTTATCGTCAGTACTGCAGTGAGATCATTGGGAAGTCTTTCTAAACGTAATTTTGAATTTCCTCCTGAGACCGTGTCTAACTTATTGATATGGAAGCAGTACCCAAAAGTTGAATTCCATACAACTCCATGCATCATCTATTTCGTTTTAGCTGTACTTGAAGCCGTATATTGCAGTCAATATACTCCCTGAGTAAGTCCCAATCCGTGAGTTTTTTCAAAGTGTCAGTTTCTATTTATAACGTACCTACTTATAGTTAATATCGGTATGGTCGGAAGAACCGTCGAAGCAAATCTCTGCTTTGAGATAGTATCTTGGAAAACCTTTTAGTATGAAGAAATCAAATAGGTTTGGAGATTTGTTAGGATCCCTTGGCCAATAAGAAGGTTCATATTTTTTTAGGTTCCTGCCCCTTGTAGTTCTGACTCGAGACCCCCAGTACACATGCTTTTCATTCCAGTCACCTCCCGCTACTAAACGATTTCCAAGTCGTATAAAGTAATCGGTACACATGATCTCACAAATTTTGTTTTAAGATTGACACTACATTGCTGAAAGGTTAATGTAGGGTAAGGTGTTATCTTTCACAATAATAGTTGTAACATGAATTTCGGAAACCATGTCTTAAATAAAATATAAAAAACAGACTTCTATAATGCTTAATAAAGATGGATTCAAGAATTCTAGAATCTTCTTCTTCATAGTGAGAACTTCTAGTAAATATCGAGGGATTTTGTTTGGGTTATTAATATTGATAACTACAATCTATTTTTGCGCAAACATTTTCACATCACTCGAACGCAACCCTCAAATCGTTCAACTATTATAAAATTGAACGTTGGTACACACAAAGTGTCGTGTTAGCTGCGCACAGGTCAGCGCTAATATTTGCCACTCACCACTGTAAATAGAAAATAACGATCAAGTGTGAGTTGGACTTGAACGCTGCCGGTTTCGTACTAATATTACATGTTAAATTATAACCTTCGTAATACTTCCACGCGACGTATCTACCGATATGCTGTCAATAATTACCAGCACTCCAATGAGCAACTTGACAATACACCATATAAATATTTGGTCAATAATACTTACGAGTTCATAAACTGTATTGAGTTCAGTCTCGTAGTGAATGCGATCATAAATGTGTGTGTCATCAGAGTGAATGCGATCATAAATGTGTGTGTCATCAGTCATCAGATAGCGGATTACCTCTTGATCCAGCTGACGACACCGGCGACCACGAACGACACGTGCACGGTCATGCGCGTCACGATGGTGGCGAACACCACCAGGTTGGCCACCACGAAACACGCCAGCACCATCAGATCTTTGAGTGCCTCGCCGAAGCAGTTCTCAGAGCCCACGTGACCGCGGAACGGACAATACCTGCCTTACAGACAAACATCTTCAAAAGAAAAACGTCTAATCAATTCCGAAAAAAATAACCGAAAAAAATTGAAAAATTTAAATGAAATATAATTAACGCAAAAGACGATTGACTAACTCGAGATGCCTTTTAAAGACGGCTAGGAAATCTGAACCTCTTTGTACGAGCACCATAAGAGCCTCGTAGTAACGCAGTACTAAAATCGAAGTGTCTCAGTACTAAAAAAAGCAGTTCTCAGAGCCCACGTGACCGCGGAACGGACAATACCTGCCTTACAGACAAACATCTTCAAAAGAAAAAACGTCAAATCAATTCCGAAAAACATAACCGAAAAAAATTTAAAAATTTAAATGAAATATAATTAACTCAAAAGACGATTGACTAACTCGAGATGCCTTTTAAAGACGGCTAGGAAATCTGAACCTCTTTGTACGAGCACCATAAGAGCCTCGTAGTAACGCAGTACTAAAATCGAAGTGTCAAGGTAGACGATAACGTAGACGATAACGTAGACACTAAATTATTTTACATAACGAATTAATACGTTTCGAAGTGTAGACGTTGACACTTAACCGAAAATTTAACCGAAAATACGCTATAGATGTGTAATAGCGTAACAGCGTATTTTCGTACCTTCTTTAGCAATATACCTCGTAAAGGCATTCTATTTTTTTAATAAGTTGTCTACTATTCGCTGGGTGCGAAGTAGGAGGTGGGAGAACACGAATCGATCGCAGCGCGCACCGTGGCTAAAACGGAAAACTCTGTCGGACGAAATGTCACTTTTTACTTAAGAAATTTACATATTTGTGCATTTTAAGCAAAAGTTAATAAAATGCGTCACGATACCCGCTGTGTAGTTGGCCGCAAGAACAATGGCAAAAATAGTGATAATTTCTTTTATAGATTTCCTCGAGTGAGTTGGAAACAATAACAAAATTACTAAGCTGTAGCTCACCAAATAGGAGTATGAGTACATAGAAAAGTATGTGCTCATGTTCATGATGTAAATTACATATTTTTATATTTATCAGTTACGTAAAAGTGTCATTTTAAAGAATTTTTCATATTAATTTACCTTTTTTATTGTATCTAAAATATATTTTTTATATGAAATCTAGTTGAATAATCAAATTTTAATGTCAAAATTATAGGTATATATAATCAAGCAAGATTTATATTTTTTATATTATTATATTATATAGTGAATATCTGTAGCCTTCGAGAAGAAGTGATTATATTTACATTTTGAAATTTTATTGTTAATGTTGTAGATAATTGTGTACTAGTAGTATGACTTTTCCATTCCATAATTGATTGTGGCATTTTAGACTGAAAATAAAAAAGATCAACAGTATTAACGACACCTTAGGTTTACATAATCGAATAAAATCTCAGTAAATTACGCTATTCAATAAAATTATTGTTTGTTTACTTACTATTCGTACTAAATGACATTTAAATATCCGACATAATTGTTACCGCTAGTTGGCGCTACCATCGTGCACCTAGCGAATACTAGACATTTAGGATAGTGTGACAAAAAGCTTATTTAATAGTGTAGTTAGTACATCATTATGATACATATTTTTTTAATACTATGATAAATTAAACTAGAAAATCTCTTGTAGTTCTGACGAAGTTAGAAGAAACAAATTAACAACGAAATACTTTTTTATATATGAAAGTGAAAATATGTGAAGACATGGTTAAAGTATTGTGAATAAACGTATCTGATATCAACGCCATCTATCTTACTACTTAGATAATTGATAGTAATTACGCAAATGCCAAAGCAAGACTTAAAAGTTTTACGTTTGTGAAGATATTGAGGAATGCTACGAGATGTCGCGAAGTTTACATGATAATAAGGTGTATTATATAAAATCTATTGAAATCCAAGGCATTGTTTTTAGGTGATTTGAACAAGGTTTCTACGTGGTAACAATCATGTCATGCTGGGAACGTTGCCTAGCTACCGCGTAGCGTCGTCGTCCGAACGCGCTAAACACTGCCTGCGCTGTGTAATGGGTAAATCACCAGATGATACGCTTGGTTTTTATGCGGTCTAAGTGACACATGGCTGCGGTAAGGGTCCCTAATAATAACATATCAATATATGCCTACATCAAGACAATTCGCTATCGCAATCACGTCGTTACAAAATATTTTCTTCAAAATCATATAATACAGTCAACTGCTCTTTAGACTATAGATAATCGTCAAACCCCTACCGATATTAAAGCTTAATATATTGTGGGTAGGGGCAAAAATCCATTACTAAAATTTTACATATTGTGGTAACCTGACGTGCAGCCCTGTGTACCATAATGTAAACCATGTCAGAGCACAAATACATTGACACCGATACATATTTTCATATCGTACGTTGAGAACGATAGTGACACAATGCAAAAAATGCGGAAGATCACATGGAAGTTCCTACCGACCTCAGATTGTAGCCCGCACATTTTTCGTACAACAGTTCCACAGTCCTCACAGCGAAGCTCCTTTTGGTAGACCTGGGCGGCTTAAAAAAACCGCTGTCTTTCGGCGTCAGGAACATGACTTGCCCGTCCACGGAACTGACGGGTAACGCTGGCCCCACCAGCTTGCACCGACATTTCTCCAACCGATACCCTGAGCACTTGCAGGGCATTGTTTCACTGATAGACGAAGCTATTCATTATAAGCAAACTTTTGTCAGTTCGGCGTTCAAGTCAAGTCAATCTTATGATGATTACAAAAAAAATTATTTGCTATTTGTTCAAAGAGGAATAATATATTTGATGGTTGTATTAGCTGTCATCTGTCATTTGAGAATTGCGAGAGTTACTCTTCTTCTTCTTTTATTATTAATGGCTAATCTGTGCATTTCTCACAATTCTGCCAATGTCAAGAGAATAAATTAATTTTACATGTAAAATGAATATGAAATGAATGAAAGATGGCGATGGTCCATGGGAGAATTGCTCAAGAATTAATTTATTCACTTGACATGGGCAAAATTGAGTGAAATGCGCAGATAAACAATTACGAAAAGAGTTCTACATCGAAGATGAAAGTAGAAGAATTATTAAAATTTTCTTTGAATAAGGAAGTTTCATGATGTAGATTTTATTATATTTAACATATAATAATTAAAATATGGACCAAAACAAAAATTAATCAGAAAACAAAATTAAAATCAAGTTAGCGGTTTTTGTATTAACTGTTGACTTTTATAATGGCTTATTTACATTAGTCGATAGGGCCCGCACGCATAGTGCGATCGATAAACTCTTTCAGTTTGACTATAAAGTCAAAGTACGGAAATCGCCGCACTCTGCATGAGAGGCCTGTCGACTAATGTAAATGTGTTTGCTCTAGTCAGGAAACCAATAAGTCAATGACCGTCTAATGAAATTAGCACAAAAACGCCGCATACCGCAAACGGCCAATGTAAATGAGCTTGCAGTAGTCAATTAATCAATGATTGTCAACGACCGACTAATGAAAATAAGCGCAGAAACTATCGCATGTGGGCCCTGTGAACCAATTAAAATGAACTTGCTCTAATTGATAAATCTTGGAACTCTTACAGATTAGGTAACTATTACCAGATAATAATTAGTTGGTACCTCTTCTTATTGGACTTTATGAGTAGGTGCATTCTAGAAACCATTTTTTCGTTTCCTTATCTAAAAATATTTTATTAGGATATTTTATTGTTGTTCAGATAATGTGGCTAGGGCAGCTGCCTGTGTGTAATACTAATAGTCTAATAATAAATAAGTCTCTCTTGTCTAATAATAATAAATAACTCGCCCGACGGGATATGGATAAATATGTTAAGTTTCTAAATGTACAATGAATACTTTCGATTAGTAGGAACTTTTGACTTAAAAATGTTTGCGTTCACCTTTAAGTAGAATATAATAGACTATTACAACAAGAAACAACACTGGCATAATATAAAATACATTACTAGGTATATTACACGTATGACATTAGCGTGATGTAGTGACTTCAGAATTTTACTATGTTTTGTACAGATATGAGATATTAAAAATATATTTTTCTATAAAATAAATTTTATAAAAAAATAATAAAAAGTGGAAATGACTTAAAATATTTAAAGTGATTTTTTTCTACTGCACTGGCTGATATGAGATATGGTAAGTAAAATGTTGTATCCTTTTTTGCTCAATATTTTGTTATATAGGTACCTACCTAATATTTATCTTGACAAAGATTTCAAAATATCAGTTGCTCAACAGTCAACCATATACTACACAGTTATATCTGATTTCCGTATTATCATCATTAGGAATACTTAACTTCTCTGCCAGCATACAAATATTGTAAAATTATTATTATATTGTTAAAGCTATTATAAAGGAAAACGTTTGTAGCTTTGGATGTTTGTATATATGTACACGCAAAAAGTACTGAACGGATTTTGATGAAATTTAGTATTTAAACGCGTTAGATGTTATGTTTCACTGGCTAATTTTATGGCCTATTTTCAATTTAAGTAATTATCATGTAATACACATTTTCGTATTGGTATCCACGGAATATATATAGTGTATATATATATATATATCTATATATATATATATATGGATCTCTCTACGCAATATCTCCGACTCGAAATTTTAATTATATATTCAATTCTATTGCACAACGCACCTATTTCGGGAACTTGTATTAGACGAGAAGAAGCCAGTCGAATATAATGATGATTCTTATATGATGTTCTGATTTTCAGTTTCCTCATATTGACGTCTATAATCAATATTAAATATCTAATGAGAAAAATATTTTGTAAATAAATAATTACCAGGGTTATGTAATCATCAAAAAAAGATGGCAAGCGATAGGTGGACAATGGGACACCGCCGTAATAACACCAATACTGAAACTAACAAAGCACAATTATTAACGCATAGCGACGATGATGACCTCCGGATAATTTACATAAATAGGAAAGCTGTGCGAAGTAAAAGATGCACCCAGATCCAGCCTTTAACATATCACTGGAGTAACAGTTTCTATGATGAGACAGAGAGAAGTAACATACTTATGTGCAAAGAGAAACTATCTGAGTGTAAAAAACGCACTAAATATAAGATTTATAAATATGCAAGAAAAAAACATCTATGTCGTACGGCATCCCGTCAAATTGCCGCGCTAAAATATCACAGCATACAAGAATTATCTACAATAGGAACAACTAAAACTAAACTCATTATCAAAGGTTCTGAAATTATATGTAAGAAAAATTACAAATCTCTATATACAAATATCTTATATAATAAAGTATCGCCGTACGTTAGTTATCAAAACCCGTTTCAAAATCCTCTAATTTTAAGAAAGTGGGAAGTTTACAGATGTCAATTTGGCGCACCAGAAGAAAGTTGTTGCTGTTCTTGCAACTCTGATGCAATGTTCGAAGTCATGAAAAGCTTGTACGATTGTTATAAGAAAAAAAATTGTGACAATTGCAATTGTATACTTTGTGGTCATTTGCCGAAGGAAGAAAGAAGATTTGGTGAAATGAGAAAATCAGCACTTGCAATGGAAACTGCAAGCACCAAAGTAAGGAAAAAGGAAATCGAAAGGAAAACCAAAGAAGCTTTAGATAGGATGGAAGGAAAATCACCGGCAGAAAAAGAAAAAATACTGAAAGAGTTAGCCATGAGTGGCATTCCATTACCAGAGGCTAAAACACCATCAGAAAAAGTAATAATAGAAAAACTGAAAAAACAACTTGGCTTACCTCCCGAACCAAAGACTGCAGAAGAGAGAGAGAAAATGAAAAAAGCCGAAGCTGCTGGTATCATAGTGCCATTAGAAGGTAAAACTGCTGCAGAAAAGGAAAAAATTTTAAGAAAGCAGGCTGAAATGGGCATTGAGCTTCCTGAAGGAAGAACTGCATCAGAAAAAGCACTAATAGAAAAGGTAAAAGCAACGGCCGGGCAAAAAAGACCAAGTAGACTGTCCGCAAAAATGCGTGAAGCTAAAGCTGCCGGCTTATTAACTCCACTAGAGGGGAAAACTCCAGAACAAAAAGAAAAGATTCTTAAGGGTCTCGCGATGTCTGGGCTACCTTTACCTGAAGCTAAAACAGCTTCAGAAAAAAAACTGATAAAAAAAGTTAGAGCTGGCTTAGGATTGCCTCCAGAACCAAAAACAGCATCGGAGAAGAAAAAATATGAAAAAGGATTAGCAGCTGGCATAATAACTCCACTCGAAGGAAAATCTCCGGCTGAAAAAGAAAAGATTTTAAAAGCTCAACATGCGCTAGGTATTCCTCTACCCGAAGGCAGAACAGCGTCTGAAAAAGCATTAATTGCTAAAGTAAAAGCTTCTCCAAAACTACCTTTACCGTCCCAAATATCGATACCTGCTGAGAAACTAAAAAAAGCTAAAGCTGCAGGACTAATCACCCCATTAGAAGGAAAAACACCCGAGCAAAAAGAAAAGATATTAAAAGGCTTAGCCATGCACGGCATACTACCTGAAGGTAGGACTGCATCAGAGAAAAAGCTAGTTGACAAAGTAAGAGCTGATCTTGGTTTACCACCTGAGCCGAAAACAGCAGCAGAAAAGAAAAAGTATGAAAAGGCTTTAGCAGCTGGTATAATCACCCCACTCGAAGGAAAATCTCCGGAAGAAAAAGAAAAGATTCTACGAGCCCAGCAAACGATGGGTATTCCACTACCCGAAGGAAGAACAGCCTCTGAAAAGGCATTAATAGCTAAAGTGAAAGCAGCACCCAAACTGCCTTTGCCATCCAAAATATCCATACCTTCTGAGAAACTCAAGAAAGCTAAAGCTGCAGGATTACTCACACCATTAGAAGGAAAAACACCAGAACAAAAAGAGAAAATATTAAAAGGTTTAGCCATGCATGGCATACTACCTGAAGGAAAAACTCCCTCTGAGAAAAAATTGGTAGAAAAAATAAGAGCTGATCTTGGTCTTCCACCTGAACCAAAAACACCAGCAGAGAGGAAAAAGTATGAGAAGGCTTTAGCAGCTGGTATAATAACCCCACTCGAGGGAAAATCTCCGGCTGAAAAAGAAAAGATTTTACGAGCTCAGCAGACGATGGGTATTCCACTACCCGAAGGAAGAACAGCCTCTGAAAAGGCCTTAATAGAGAAAGTGAAAGCGACGCCCACACTGCCTTTTCCATCTGGAGTATCCATTCCAGCTGAGAAACTTAAGAAAGCGAAAGCTGCTGGACTAATAACACCATTAGAAGGTAAAACACCTGAGCAAAAAGAAAAGATATTGAGAGGACTGGCAATGCACGGAATTCCCTTGCCGGAAGGAAAAACGCCTTCTGAGAAAAAACTCATTGATAAAGTTCGGGCGGATGTTGGTTTACCACCTGAACCAAAAACATCCTCAGAAAAGAGATTGTATGAGAAAGCTTTAGCAGCTGGTTTAATAACACCCTTAGAAGGTAAATCACATGAGCAAAAGGAGAAAATACTAAAAGCTCAGCTCGATGCTGGCATACCGCTACCGGAAGGCCGCACTGCATCAGAAAAAGCTATAATATCCAAAATGAAAAAAGCAGCTGCACCTTCACGTGTTCCTACGGAAATGATGAAAAAAGCCGAAACCGCTGGTATAGGTGTTCTGTTGAAAGGTAAAAGTCCTGATGAAAAGGAAAAAATTGTTAGGGGACTGCTGATGAAAGGCCAACCACTACCAGAATCAAAAACGCCATCAGAGAGAAAGCTTGTTGACAAAGTGAGAGCTGACTTAGGATTACCTCCAGAGCCAAAAACAGCATCGGAAAAGAAAAAATATGAAAAAGGATTAGCAGCTGGCATAATAACTCCACTCGAGGGAAAATCTCCGGCAGAAAAAGAAAAGATTTTAAAAGCTCAGCATGCGCTAGGTATTCCTTTACCCGAAGGTAGATCAGCGTCTGAAAAAGCATTGATAGCTAAAGTAAAAGCTTCACCAAAGTTACCTTTGCCGTCCCAAATATCGATACCTGCCGAAAGAATCAAGAGAGCTAAAGCTGCAGGATTAATCACACCGTTAGAAGGAAAAACACCCGAGCAAAAGGAAAAAATATTAAAAGGTTTAGCCATGCACGGCATACTACCTGAAGGTAGGACTGCATCAGAGAAAAAGCTAGTTGACAAAGTAAGAGCAGATCTTGGTTTACCACCTGAACCAAAAACGCCCGCAGAAAAGAAAAAATATGAGAAAGCTTTAGCAGCTGGTATAATTACCCCACTCGAAGGAAAATCTCCGGCTGAAAAAGAAAAGATTCTACGAGCCCAGCAGTCCATGGGTATTCCTCTACCCGAAGGAAGAACAGCCTCTGAAAAGGCACTAATAGCTAAAGTGAAAGCAGCACCCAAACTGCCTTTGCCATCAAAAATATCCATACCTTCTGAGAAACTAAAGAAAGCTAAAGCTGCAGGATTACTTACACCGTTAGAAGGAAAAACGCCAGAACAAAAAGAAAAAATATTAAAAGGTTTAGCCATGCATGGCATACTACCTGAAGGTAAAACTCCTTCCGAGAAAAAATTGGTTGACAAAGTGAGAGCTGATCTTGGTCTACCACCTGAACCAAAAACTGCAGCAGAACGGAAAAAGTACGAGAAGGCTTTAGCAGCTGGTGTAATAACCCCACTCGAAGGAAAATCTCCTGCTGAAAAAGAAAAGATTTTACGAGCTCAGCACACAATGGGTATTCCACTACCCGAAGGAAGAACAGCCTCTGAAAAGGCCTTAATAGAAAAAGTGAAAGCGGCACCTACACTATCTTTTCCATCTGGAGTATCCATACCTGCAGATAAACTTAAGAAAGCTAAAGCTGCTGGACTAATAACCCCATTAGAAGGAAAAACACCTGAACAAAAAGAGAAGATATTAAAAGGATTGGCGATGCACGGAATTCCCTTGCCAGAAGGAAAAACGCCTTCTGAGAAAAAACTCATCGATAAAGTTCGAGCTGATGTTGGTTTACCACCTGAACCAAAAACAGCCTCAGAAAAGAGATTGTATGAGAAAGCTTTAGCAGCTGGTTTAATAACACCCTTAGAAGGTAAATCACATGAGCAAAAGGAGAAAATACTAAAAGCTCAGCTAGATGCCGGCATACCGCTACCGGAAGGCCGGACTGCATCAGAAAAAGCTATAATATCCAAAATGAAAAAAGCAGCTGCGCCTTCACGTGTTCCCACGGAAATGATGAAGAAAGCTGAAGCCGCTGGTATAGGTGTTTTATTGAAAGGTAAAACTCCTGATGAAAAAGAAAAGATAGTAAGAGGACTGTTGATGAAAGGCCAACCGCTACCAGAAACAAAAACGCCATCTGAGAAACAACTTGTCGACAAAGTGAGGGCAGACTTAGGATTACCTCCTGAGCCTAAAACAGCGTCAGAGAAAAAAAAGTATGAAAAAGGATTAGCGGCTGGTATAATAACTCCACTCGAAGGAAAATCCCCAGCTGAAAAAGAAAAGATTTTAAAAGCTCAGCATGCGCTTGGTATTCCTCTACCCGCAGGGAGAACAGCATCTGAGAAAGCATTGATTTCTAAAGTAAAAGCTTCACCAAAGCTACCTTTACCATCCCAAATATCGATACCTGCTGAAAGAATCAAAAAAGCTAAAGCTGCTGGACTAATCACCCCATTAGAAGGAAAAACACCCGAGCAAAAAGAAAAGATATTAAAAGGCTTAGCCATGCACGGCATACTACCTGAAGGTAGGACTGCATCAGAGAAAAAGCTAGTTGACAAAGTAAGAGCAGATCTTGGTTTACCACCTGAACCAAAAACAGAAGCAGAAAAGAAAAAGTACGAGAAAGCTTTAGCAGCTGGTATAATTACCCCACTCGAAGGAAAATCTCCGGCTGAAAAAGAAAAAATTCTACGAGCTCAGCAGACGATGGGTATTCCTTTACCAGAAGGAAGAACAGCCTCTGAAAAGGAATTGATAGCTAAAGTGAAAGCAGCACCTAAACTTCCTTTGCCATCCAAAATATCCATACCTTCTGAGAAACTAAAGAAAGCTAAAGCTGCAGGATTACTTACACCGTTAGAAGGAAAAACGCCAGAACAAAAAGAGAAAATATTAAAAGGTTTAGCCATGCATGGCATACTACCTGAAGGAAAAACTCCTTCCGAGAAAAAATTGGTTGACAAAGTGAGAGCTGATCTTGGTCTACCACCTGAACCAAAAACAGCAGCAGAAAGAAAGAAGTATGAAAAAGCTTTAGCAGCTGGTATAATAACCCCACTCGAAGGAAAATCTAAGGCTGAAAAAGAAAAGATTTTGCGAGCTCAGCAAACGATGGGTATTCCCTTACCAGAAGGAAGAACAGCCTCTGAAAAGGCCTTAATAGCAAAAGTGAAAGCGGCGCCAAAACTAGCTTTTCCATCTGGAGTATCCATACCTGCCGAAAAACTAAGGAAAGCTAAAGCTGCAGGACTGATAACACCATTAGAAGGGAAAACACCTGAGCAAAAAGAAAAGATATTGAGAGGACTGGCAATGCACGGAATTCCGTTGCCAGAAGGAAAAACACCTTCAGAAAAAAAACTCATTGATAAAGTTCGAGCTGATGTTGGTCTACCGCCTGAACCTAAAACTTCATCTACTAAGGAGAAGTACAAAAAAGCCTTAGCTGCTGGAATCATTACACCATTAGAAGGCAAATCTTCCGCTCAAAAAGAAAAAATACTGAAAGGTCTTAAAGATGCTGGTATCCCTTTACCTGAAGGAAGAACACCATCAGAAAAAGCCTTGATTGCTAAGCTTAGAGAAGCACCATCACGAATACCATCTGAAAAACTTAGAAAAGCTGCAGCAGCTGGGTTAATTACTCCATTAGAAGGAAAGAGTCCTGAAGAAAAAGAAAAAATAATACGAGGACTGGCAATGCATGGATTGCCTCTACCAGAAGGAGGCACTCCATCTGAAAGAAAACTTATAGATAAAGTGAGAGCTGATGTTGGCCTTCCGCCAGCACCTAAATCGCCAGCAGAAAGAAAGAAATACGATAAAGCTATTACAGATGGCATTATCGTACCACTCGAAGGAAAAACACATGCAGAAAAAGAGAAAATCTTGAAAGCTCAACACGAAGCTGGATTTCCGTTGCCCGTAGGACGTACACCATCAGAAAAAGCATTGATTGCAAAAATAAAAGCAACACCAGTTCTAAAAATACCTTCTGAAAAATTAAGAAAAGCTAAAGCAGCCGGTTTGATAACACCTTTAGAAGGAAAAACACCTGAGCAAAAGGAAAAAATACTAAGAGGGTTAGCGATGCACGGAATCCCATTGCCAGAAGGGAAAACACCTTCCGAGAAAAAACTAATTGATAAGGTTCGAGCTGATGTAGGTTTACCACCTGAACCTAAAACAGCAGCACAGAAAGAAAAGTATATTAAAGCTATGGCAGCTGGAATAATAACTCCTCTAGAGGGAAAAACATCACAACAAAAAGAAAATATCTTAAAAGCTCAACACGAAGCTGGTCTACCATTGCCTGAAGGTCGTACACCATCAGAAAAAGCATTGATTGCAAAAATAAAAGCAACGCCAGTATTAAGAATACCATCAGAAAAATTACGAAAAGCTAGAGAGGCTGGATTGATAACACCGTTAGAGGGCAAAACGCCAGAACAAAAAGAAAAAATATTGAGAGGGCTGGCGATGCATGGAATCCCATTGCCAGAAGGAAAAACGTCTTCCGAAAAGAAACTCATTGATAAGGTTCGAGCTGATCTTGGTCTACCACCTGAACCCAAAACTGCAGCACAGAAAGAAAAATACACTAAAGCTATGGCAGCTGGAATTATCACTCCTCTAGAGGGAAAGACAGCGCAACAAAAAGAGGATATCTTAAAAGCTCAACACGAAGCTGGTCTGCCATTGCCTGAAGGCCGTACACCATCAGAAAAAGCATTGATAGCAAAAGTAAAAGCATTGCCAGTACTTAGAATACCATCTGAAAAATTAAGGAAAGCTAAAGCCGCCGGGCTGATAACACCATTAGAAGGCAAAACACCAGAACAAAAAGAAAAAATATTAAGAGGGCTGGCGATGCATGGAATTCCATTGCCAGAAGGAAAAACGTCTTCCGAAAAGAAACTCATTGATAAGGTTCGAGCTGATCTTGGTTTACCGCCTGAACCTAAAACTGCAGCACAGAAAGAAAAATACACTAAAGCTATGGCAGCTGGAATTATCACTCCTCTAGAGGGAAAGACATCGCAACAAAAAGAAAATATTTTAAAAGCACAACACGAAGCTGGTCTGCCATTGCCAGAAGGTCGTACACCATCAGAAAAAGCATTGATCGCTAAAATAAAAGCATCGCCAGTATTTAGAATACCATCAGAAAAATTAAGAAAAGCCAAAGAAGCGGGTTTTATAACACCATTAGAGGGCAAAACTAAAGAACAAAAAGAAAAAATTCTAAGAGGGCTGGCGATGCATGGAATCCCATTGCCAGAAGGAAAAACGCCTTCCGAAAAGAAACTCATTGATAAGGTTCGAGCTGATCTTGGTTTACCACCAGAACCCAAAACTGCAGCACAGAAAGAAAAGTACACTAAAGCCATGGCAGCTGGAATTATCACACCTCTAGAGGGAAAGACATCGCAACAAAAAGAAAATATTTTAAAAGCACAACACGAAGCTGGTCTGCCATTGCCTGAAGGTCGTACACCATCAGAAAAAGCATTGATCGCAAAAATTAAAGCATCGCCAGTATTTAGAATACCATCAGAAAAATTAAGAAAAGCCAAAGAAGCGGGTTTTATAACACCATTAGAGGGCAAAACTAAAGAACAAAAAGAAAAAATTCTAAGAGGGCTGGCGATGCATGGAATCCCATTGCCAGAAGGAAAAACGCCTTCTGAAAAGAAACTCATTGATAAGGTTAGAGCTGATCTTGGTTTACCACCTGAACCCAAAACTGCAGCACAGAAAGAAAAGTATACTAAAGCTATGGCAGCTGGAATTATCACACCTCTGGAGGGAAAGACAGCGCAACAAAAAGAGGATATTTTAAAAGCCCAACACAAAGCTGGTCTGCCATTGCCTGAAGGCCGTACACCGTCAGAAAAAGCATTGATAGCTAAAGTAAAAGCAATGCCAGTGTTAAAAATACCATCTGAAAAATTAAGAAAAGCTAAAGCCGCCGGATTGATAACACCATTAGAAGGCAAAACACCAGAACAAAAAGAAAAAATAATAAGAGGGCTGGCGATGCATGGAATTCCATTGCCAGAAGGAAAAACGCCTTCGGAGAAGAAACTTATCGATAAGGTTCGGGCTGATCTTGGTCTACCACCAGAACCTAAAACTGCAGCACAGAAAGAAAAGTACACTAAAGCTATGGCAGCTGGAATTATCACTCCTCTAGAGGGAAAAACAGCGCAACAAAAAGAAAATATTTTAAAAGCACAACACGAAGCTGGTCTGCCATTGCCTGAAGGTCGTACACCATCAGAAAAAGCATTGATCGCAAAAATTAAAGCAATGCCAGTATTTAGAATACCTTCAGAAAAATTAAGAAAAGCCAAAGAAGCGGGTTTGATAACACCATTAGAGGGCAAAACTAAAGAACAAAAAGAAAAAATTCTAAGAGGTCTGGCAACGCATGGAATCCCATTGCCAGAAGGAAAAACGGCTTCCGAGAAGAAACTCATTGATAAAGTTCGCGCTGATCTTGGTTTACCACCGGAACCCAAAACTGCAGCACAGAAAGAAAAGTACACTAAAGCTATGGCAGCTGGAATTATCACTCCTCTAGAAGGAAAGACAGCGCAACAAAAAGAGGATATCTTAAAAGCCCAACACGAAGCTGGTCTGCCATTGCCTGAAGGCCGAACACCATCAGAAAAAGCACTGATAGCAAAAGTAAAAGCAATGCCAGTGGTAAGAATACCATCTGAAAAATTAAGAAAAGCTAAAGCCGCCGGACTGATAACACCATTAGAAGGCAAAACACCAGAACAAAAAGAAAAAATATTAAGAGGGCTGGCGATGCATGGAATTCCATTGCCAGAAGGAAAAACGTCTTCCGAAAAGAAACTCATTGATAAGGTTCGAGCTGATCTTGGTTTACCACCTGAGCCCAAAACTGCAGCACAGAAAGAAAAATACACTAAAGCTATGGCAGCTGGAATTATCACTCCTCTAGAGGGAAAGACAGCGCAACAAAAAGAGGATATCTTAAAAGCTCAACACGAAGCTGGTCTGCCATTGCCTGAAGGCCGTACACCATCAGAAAAAGCATTGATAGCAAAAGTAAAAGCAATGCCAGTACATAGAATACCATCTGAAAAATTAAGGAAAGCCAAAGAGGCCGGATTCATAACACCATTAGAGGGCAAAACAAAAGAACAAAAAGAAAAAATACTAAGAGGGCTGGCTATGCATGGAATCCCGTTGCCAGAAGGAAAAACACCTTCCGAGAAGAAACTCATTGATAAAGTGCGTGCTGATCTTGGTTTGCCACCTGAACCCAAAACTGCAGCACAGAAAGAAAAATACAATAAAGCTATGGCAGCTGGAATTATCACTCCTCTAGAGGGAAAGACTGCGCAACAAAAAGAGGATATCTTAAAAGCCCAACACGAAGCTGGTCTACCATTGCCTGAAGGCCGTACGTCATCAGAAAAAGCATTGATAGCAAAAGTGAAAGCAATGCCAGTGTTAAGAATACCATCTGAAAAATTAAGAAAAGCTAAAGCCGCCGGATTAATAACACCATTAGAAGGCAAAACGCCGGAACAAAAAGAAAAAATATTAAAAGGTCTGGCAATGCATGGAATTCCTTTACCAGAACCTAAAACTAAATCAGAAAAGGAACTTGTAGCGAAAGTTAAAGCGGAATTAGGACTACCTCCAGAACCAAGATCCGCGTCTATTAAAGAAAAAATGGCAAAAGCATTAGCAGCCGGTATAATTACACCTCTTGAAGGTAAAACGCCAGCTCAAAAAGAAAAAATTCTAAGAGGCATGAAGGAGGCTGGAATCCCATTACCAGAAGGACGAACTGACTCTGAAAAAGCATTAATCAGTAAAATCCAAGCAGAAAAGCCACGTAAAAAAGCACCGCCCTTATCAGAGGAAGCCAAGCAACTAGACGCAAAAACAGCTAAAGTTATGAAAGAAGGTAAAGGCCCAAGTGATGAATGTATATGTCCAATTTTATGGCCTGAAGGCTCAGGAGAACCTTCAGTAGCTCCCTCTGCGAAAGCAATCACCTCAGCAAAATTAAGAAAAGCAAAAGCTGAAGGGTTACTCACACCTTTAGACGGAAAGACAGCAGCTCAAAAAGAAAGAATCATCAGAGGATTAGCTGAGGCTGGTCTCCCTTTACCGGAAGGTAAAACAGCATCTGAAAAATCTATCATACGTAAAGTTAAAAAGGATATCGCGGAAGCGGAAAAGGAAATTTTAAGAAAGGCAAAAGCGGAAGGCCTATTAACACCACTAACAGGCAAAACTCCTGAACAAAAAGAAAAAATAATAAGAGGATTAGCTGAAGCCGGTTTACCTATTCCAGAAGGTACTACTCCCTCTGAAAAGGAATTAATAAAGAAAATAAGGAAAGATATCGGACTTCCGCCAGAAAGAACACCATCTGAAAAAAAAGGAGTAATTAGACGTAGAATTTCAAAAAAACTAGAATTTGGAGTTGCTCCTGAAGCTGTAACGCCTTCTGAAAAAGAAATGGTAAGAAAAGCAAAGGCAGAAGGCTTAATTACACCTTTAACAGGTAAAACCCCTCAACAAAAGGAAAAAATTATTAGAGGACTGGCTAAGGCTGGTCTTCCGATTCCCGAAGGGAAAACAGCTTCAGAAAAAGAACTTATAAAAAAAATAAGAGCCGAATATGGTTTGCCACCAGAAGCCACTCCTTCTGAAAGAAGAGGAAAGATAAAATCTAAATCAAAAAGAATTGGTGCTGGTGCAAGAAAAAGTGCCAGAGGTGTAGGTCCTATAACAAAATCCAAAACAGGCATAGTAGAGGAATTTGAAGATATAATCAAAACTACAACTTGTGACCGTGGTTGTGGATGTGATAAAAAGAAAATACGGTTTAAGCACAGTTATGTCAAAATTCGTGTAACTTCCCCTGACATATCCTCAATCTGCCCTTGTCCAGATGAATGTTTTCCAACTGTTAAAGGAGGAGTTGTCACTGACAAAGAAGGAATAAAAGTGACGGTAGGCAGAGCTCTGGGTATTCCATTGTATACATCCAAGTCATTAAGAAGTCAAGCTATGACAAATAATACAATGTATAGCAAATCCTGTGATTTGATTAGTGAACACTGTTTAAAACGAGACGAACATTCCTGTTTAAATATAAAATTCAATACTCAAAAATCAATTATAAATGACATGGACAAGGTTAGTAGTGAAAAATATATCGATTCAGGACTCGAACTATTTAATCAAGACATAGAAAGTGAATCTATCCTCAGTGACTTGGAATTGATTAGGATTGCCAATAACCCGAATTTCAACGTTCAATTTTACTACAATACTAAAACTGCATCTCAGTCATGTCAATCTATTCTATCAACAAGATCAAGTCACGATTCTCTTCTAATAATTGAAACAGAGTCGTCTCTGAGTTTATCTACACAGACTGGCGCGAGCGATGTAAGCATAAGCTTTGTTTCATTCGTTGGAAGTGACTTCTCTTCTAATACAAGTAATTACTTGTTATTAGCACATGATACAAATACTGTTTACTCTGACTTTTTGATAGACAAGCTCGGATTTAACATATCAGAGACCACTAACTGGTAAGAGTTACTATTAAAATTACACAACTTACATTTATTTACTCCTCCCTCAATATCCACCTACTATATTTTATTTTTCAGTATGATTAATACAACAGAGCAATTCAACAATCTTTTAACAGAATACAAAAATAACGATCACGATTATAAAACATCGCACTTCAAAATGATATCTTCGCATAGTAAAATAATAAAAGAAACTGAAAATTTGAAAAGTCATGGTAGAAATCTATCGGATCATGATGGTATTTTCGAACTAAATAGCCATCACACTTTACAAGATGTTATAAACCAGCTTCTGTTAAAGAAATCTTTACCTGATGATTACTCAACAGTTTTAGTAATACCATCCAGTAATGATTATCATAGTTTGGAAAATGTCGATTCAACATGCGTTCAAATGTCACAACGTTTGTGGAAAGGGGAAAAGAAAATTGTTCGACATGAAGGTACTTTTTTAACTAAATATTTGTTTTAATGTATTTTATTTTGGGAATATAATTACCAACCATAGACAGGTCTTCCCATTTTTTATGGGTCCATCCAATGCCCAAGGTGTACTCTTTAACTTTCACAGGTTTTAATATTTTTAATATGTAGCTTTTGTAAATTTAAACAATGCACATTTTTTTCGTTAACTACATTGATAAATACTGTATTTTGCTAGTCTCAAAAGTTACGTAACACAACGTTAAATGTCATTCCAGAAAAGTAAAAAGAAATTCGAACCATTCAAAATGAAATATGTGCTTTATATCATAGATATGATGAATATTCACATTAAGATTTATTTGCAGCGCCTTCATTGTACGCAGACCCTACAAGTAATGGTGTTAAATTGATAAGAAAAGGTAAGAAATACGTTTATGCAGATCGTGCATCATCAAAGAACAAGATCAGTGATGACAAAACACCAACTAATCATGAAAGAAGAACGTATTCCAAAGATATGCAAAATGATGATGTAACACAAAATGTCATAAAAATTAATAGTAAACAATTAATAGATACAATAACGTCTGCTTTTGATGAACTCCGAGAACCAATTGTATACCGTCATCGTTATGTTGCTACAACACCACAATTTCAGAATAAAAAAACAATAACATTGAAGCCAGCTAAAATGTTCCGTGCCGTAAGTGTAGACACTATCCTTGATAGACCATGCTGCTGTTCCCCTAAAGAATCCGGAAGTTATTGTGAAGGAATCAACTTAAATGAGAACTGTCAATGTTCTGATACACTCTCTGTTACATTTATAAAACCAAAACAAAGTGTTGACTATGAAGAAGACACTCGAGGTACCTTTTCAATTTTTTTTTTTTATACTTTCCAGAACTTATTTCATATTAAAATATAAAACTACATGCTGCAATTTCTAATTGTCGTTGCGAGAGAACTTGCTAACAACTAGTTGTATTCGTTTTTCATCCAACTTTATAAATGACGACAAATGATGATGTTGTATAAATGCCGACAAACATCTTGACGCAGTTGGGAAATTAATTATAATAAGCATAGATTTAGTAGTTATAATAATACTCGTAATAATATTTCTTTATTTTTCTCCAATTGTATATTTATAAGTTATAAGATCATACTAAAGTATAAATAAAAAATAATATCATTCATATAAGTAATATTATTTTATATAAAATATCTATTAAATTGTCATTAAATTGAAATTTTTGTAATTATATACTGATATGTCCAAATGTCTATGTACTGTACATTTTCCCTACGCATACCCAAAATATGCGGTCTGCGCAATCCCCACTTGATTTCAAGATGTTTGCCGGCTACTGTACTATTTTTTGTGTTTCATATAAACCGATGCGATACGATCAGTAAGTTTCTTTGAACTATATGAAGCTGTTAATCACAATAAAGTTTTCTACTTGTAATTCTAACTAATCGAAGATCACTATTTATAATACAACTGAGGGTGAAATGTATCTGGAAGATTGTTTTAAAGATTACTAGTTGTCTGCTCCAACTGACGTGCACCTACTAACTACACTATCTAAAAAAAATAGAGTGGTGTAGGTAATGAAAAAATGAGATATACTCCGCGTACGAATTAACATGACATATAAACTACTACTTTACTGAAAAGTACTGCGTGTAAAAAAAGTTGCGAGCGTTAGCGCGCCGGCGCCGCGCTGTTTCCAAATGTGAAATGATAAATTAATAATATAGTTTCTTGGAGTAGATCATTTGCCCTAGATTCTGTTTTTTTTCTTTTGTTAATAACTAAATAAATGTAACCGCATCCAATTTTTTTAAATTTAATTTTTTATTTACGTAGTAACTTGTAGTAATGTTATGTTTTCTAATTGAAATATCCCATAAAACTCAAATTCACAATAGGTATAACAAATAAACTCACATTAGGTGAGTGAGTCCTCGCATACAATATTTTCAATATAAGCAAAGTAGATTTATATGTCTGAAACACGCAAACACAGGTAAAAAGGAGAAAGATTTACATTCAAAACTATCCAATATTTCGGAGAGGTTGTTACACATCGTTGATTTTGCAGAATACGACACTTTAGATTCCTTGCAATCATAATATTAACACATCACTGTATGAATAAAAATATATGATTACCTATAACTACCGACCATCTGTCTACATAAACAAGACATTAAAGCGTTACAAATTCATTGATAAAAAATAAACCTACGTTACTGACAATTTTAATTTTCTTCTCTCTTATCTATCTAGACGCCGTTGCTGACCGGTTAGAAAGATCAGCGTTAAAAGCGCAGGTTAAAGGTGATGCTGTGTGTATGATGGGATTGGAAGGGCATTATTCGTATGAGCTGTTACCGTCAGCAGGACCATCGATTCTGAACTCTACTGCGAACAACTGATTAGATTAAAGCAAGAAGTTGAAAGAAAGCGTCCTGAATTAATCAATAGAAGGAGGGCTGGTTTTTCATCATGATATCGCTATAGACCTCACACATCTTTTGCCACTCAGAAAAACTAAAAGTGTTTGGTTGGGGGGTGTTAATGCATCCGCCGTAAGTCTTGACCTTGCACCTTCAGATTTCCACCCGTTTCGGTCTCTTCGGAATTCTTTTTTAGGTAGTGTCAGGTCAACGCGCGTGCTGTCACGCCCGCCGACTGGCGCCACCCGCGCCGCGTTTCTCATCATTTCTCCTACGGAGAAATGGCTGTTGAGTGGCGGTACTGAGCCTGGACCAAGATGACGCCCGTCGTGTTTGTGGATGCAGGGATGTTGCGGGGGAGGCTGAAACGCGTGTCCTTTTCAGGACGCGTGGCGCCCTCTTCGGCGGTGGCACCCTATGACTGCAATGGTGGTGGTGTCGTCGACAGCCGAGGCACGTTACCGCGATTCCGCCAAGACAGGACCGCGCCCCGTGCCCCGGGAAACGCGTGTGAATGTATAGATATGTGAGAATGTATACGCATGAATGTTAGTATGCGAGTTAGTATGTGAATGATGCATGCAAAGTGGTCTGTTATATGGGCATAAAGTGTAGAAATGGGTGAGTATGTATATTTGTTTGTGTGTGTGTATGTATGTGAGTGTGTACGAGTAAGGATAAGATAGATAGATGCAACTGCACTGCTGGTGATCGATCGGTGTTGCCCATCTCGGATGGGCCGGGCGACCTAACGGTAGGGGCGAGGCTGCGGATGCGACATGGGGGCCGGGGACTTTCTCTCTCTGCCCATTATGCTTGCATAGCGCTGTCTTGGTGGCGCCAGGGGTGACAGAGCCCCGTTGAATGCGGAAACGTGCTACGACGAAGGCCCGTGGGGACAGTCTTGGGGTGCCTAGGTGGGAGGCCCGGCTGGAACTCTCAAAATGGAAGGCACCAATGGGGTGAGATTGCGTATTAACGCATCGCTCCTTTCTGTGGACCAACGGATGATTGCTGACATCCCCACCCTGGAATTAGTCTACGAGGACGACCTACCGTCTGGGAAAAGGCACCGTCAGGGAACATACTATTCACACAAGTCTTTTTCTTCCCGCAAAGGGCGACTCCTCTCCCCTCCTTGCTTCTTCCTATCCGAATGAGGTGACGCCGCAACGGGTTGTACCAGGTAGGCCTTCCACACCAACCTGCCCTTTTTAGGTTGGAAGGAGAGCCCTGGTTTTTAGGCTTAAGGTGCAATAATAATAAAAAGGTCCCTTGTGTTAATAAAAAAACCACTTATCGCGGTTGTTTGATTGGAAGCCCCAAAATCTCTATAGCAATGGGATAATGTTCCTACCTACAAGATGACAAAAAGTTGCGGAACACAATTTGAATGGTACCGAAATACTTAAGTTAATTAAATGTTAATAAACTTTATACTTTTTTTTATGGGATAGGGGGCAGATGAGCAGATTGTAAGTGATTACCGTCGCCCATGGACACCTGCAACACCAGAGGGGCTACAAGCGCGCTGCCGGCCTTTGAGGGACGAATATGATCGTAGGGAGGGAAGGGATGAAGGGTAGAGGGAAGGGAATAGGGAGGGGTTGGGCCTCCGGTACCCTCACTCACACGACGAAACACAACGCAAGCGTTGCTTCACGTCGGTTTTCTGTGAGGCCGTGGTATCACTCCGGTCGAGCCGACCCATTCATGCCGAATATTAAAATTTTCATAATGAAAACTTTTTTTAAATTGCAAAGAAACTTTTTCCTCAACCTATAATGACAAAAGTAAAATGTTTAGGTACGAATGAATGAAAAGATATAAATGCTTTTAATTGTTGATTACATTATTGTTTAATTTCATTGTGACTACGTTATATAATATAGAAGAGTATTGAGTATTATTGTGCCATATTTTATTTGTATACTGGTGAATAGGTGTTTAGAGTTTTCCAACTATTTATCATTTTTTACATTCAAACGCAAACAAATGATTCTATTCTATTTACTTTTTATATTCCATCATTTGACATAACGAGACTGCTGAATTTTTACGCCGCTGCCGAAGAATTCGGCATCGGCGCATATGCCTAACTTTATAGCAGAGTTCGATAGAAATATATGGACTAGAAAAATATATAAGAGCCAGATGTCATGTTAATTTGTACGAGTAGTACTTATATATGTCAATCTGTCAACAGCGTACATTTACTTAATTACATCATCATAGTTTATTCTTTTTAATATTAAACACAATATATCCACTTTCAGATAATTATGATGCAGGGAGTGATAGATTCGATTATGAAGATAACCTTGATAGAGATAGAACTCGGCATTATCCTGAAGAGGAAAGGATTGGTCGTTACAGTTGTAACAATGAGAGCAACACACATACTATGACGGTTGATGATTGTGCAAATAAGAACTCTGTTATGCGTACAATTAACATTCACTATCGCAAAAGTAGAAAAGCTAATGGCAAATCATGTCAATGTGCAAACGATACCTGTCGCTCCGAAATCAACAATGATATGTATTGTGACTGCCGTCTAGAATCTTTACCATCATCACGAAACAAAACAGAATGTTATGTCACAACAATGAAAGCAATTAGAAGGCAACATAAGATTGTTATGGAAACAAAATCGAACATGACCCAAACGTCCAGTTTTAAATACAAGTACAAGAGGAAAGTTCCTACTCCAGAAAAAGTTGAGCTTCTAAGCTTTGAAGATGCTTTAAGATACTTCAAGGAGCACCCTGAGGAAATACCTGTACCTGTCATAGATGAATATCCACGTGAGGACGCCGCGACTCAATATTATGATAATAACACAGAATTGTGAATTGGCCCCTTTACTTTGCAATATATTTTGTAAATGAACAGAGACTTCAAATCTATGCCACTCAAGAGGGTCAACGAAGTATATCAATAACACATAATATAATGACTAATCTCGCTATATTTCGTCTCGTATTGGTAGCTGGGTGAGCTAGTCTGAAGTAGGTACGAGTCTTATAACGAAACAGAATAGTGATAATTTTATTATGAATGTCCGTCCGCCCGTCTGTCCATCGCCATCGTTTGTCATTCCATTAGGTTGTATTAGTATTCCTTTTTTATTAACGTTTTGATAAAATGTATGTACAAAATGAAATCGAAAAAATAATGCATTATTTGGATAAAATAAATGTTGAGAAAAAATTGTTGTTTATAATTAAATGACTTCAAATGGCACAAGTTTGTGGCAGCAATATCTGCCACCTGTCAAGGGCCTTGCCGATCGGACTAGGATATTCCTATGGGCAAAAGTATAAGTTATGAGACAAGTGTCTCAAACGTCGTCGGTTTCAATAAGATTTTTAGGTTTGTATGCTCACATTCGAACGAAATCGCGATCGATCGGCATTGCAATTTTGCCGTTTCGTTCTCTTGATTAGATACACTAACGCCAGTGTGCATGCTGTTCTCTTGTAATTTTATTTGAAAACTCAACCTTGACCAAAAAAGTGCGATGTAAAAGTATACTTAACGCCATCTAGTATAGCACAAAAATTATAGTTTGTGATTTGTACTTTAATATTTTCAAAATATTTATATATAATGTTATATTTGTTATCAATTATGTACTCAAATATACATTTTTATCTTTAAACAGCAAAGCAACCCCATAAAAACTTTCACTCCCATTTTCATCCCTTTAAGTGCTAGATGACGGGATAAAATATTTGCTTATACTCCCCAAATACCAATTTTTATCGTTATAGGTCCAAAAATAAAAAAGTTTCCTACAAAATGTTCTCACCCTTTTTGACCCCCTTGGGGTAGTTTTTCCGAAAATCCCTTCTTAGTACACCTCTACATAATAAGAAGAACTATAAATTTTAAGTCTCCACGACGAGCGCTTTATGCTATGCGTTGTCTGTCAGTCAGTCAGGAGATCTCATTTTATGAGTATATACTGTAATAAGAGATTTGTTTTGCCAAATTAAATCTATACAAAAGAAGGCCTACCGAAAGATAATTCAGATAATCGGTACGCAAAAATTAATCTCTTACTCGTCAAGAAGAAATTATGGAAATAAAAGAACAGAAAAAATAAGATATTATTGTACAATCGACATCAATACTAGTGACACTTTTTGCGCATGCGTTATTTTTTATTATTTTCTAAGTGGAAAAATAATATGAATTCATACCAACAAGAAGTTTATAGTATAGTAGGTAGAGATTGCACTCCCATATATTTTAATAAGGACGATAAATTTCACCTTAATAGCATTTCTCTTACTTTTCTCTCTTTCACTCTGTCCCAATCGCACTTGTGATTTGTTGCTACTAACATAGCTATTTTATTTGTCCTGCATCTATGTAATGATGTATTTAAAAAGTTTAGATGAGTTGTCTGAGCACAACATTGACAACAAAAAAGCAAGGCAATTGTCTGAGTTTCACTTTAGTCACGTTTAGTTTGAAGTCGGTACTATTTTAAGTTTTTATATCATGTTTTTAGTGATATTGATACTTTTCCAAAAACTGCCTCAAAATCAGTTCAGCCAAAAGCGAAATAATCGCGGACAATACATACATATAGACAGGTCAAACTGAGAACCTACTTTTTTGAAGTCGGTTAAGACATTGTCACGCTGTAGAAAGGGGTGCAGCAGAGCCAGTTCGTTTAGAAGTTAAATTTTTTGACCTCATTGTCTTGTTCTGGATGCAGTCTCCAATACTATACTATAAACTTCTTGCATACAAATAATATATTTTGACAGTAACGCCATCTCATAATTTATCCAATAAACTTTTATGTGTGAACGTTCTCATACAGCAAGTATAATACGTAAGTATAAAAATTAGTCGTGCCTACCATATAAAAAAATATGGCAAATAAGGGTGTATATTCTAGACATTAATGTCTAAATATTTTGTAAAATAAATTTGTAATTTTAGCGTATATTTAAATAATATTTTAGTGATTACAATCCTAATGTAGTAGTTATTCGTTCATGCCTTTATAGGTACATCAAAGTAAACCAAGTTATATTTTAAGTTTATAGTAGTATTACAAAGAGAATTTAAACACTTCGTTATTGTTTATTAATCAAAGGAAAACTACTAAATTGTCTTATGTGCATATTATATTTTCTGAATGAAATAACAAAAGCTATGCAAACTAGTCTACCATATAAAAATTTCCAGTTTACGATCAATTTATTGTCACCCTATTAGAAGGAGACAAATACTTCTATAACAGATGCGTGGTAATAATAGGAGTTGGGAGAAAAGAAAGGGCTCAAAGTTAAGGAAACAATATAAAGATAATTAAAATATATACAAATCAAAATATGCAGCTAACTTACATGACAATAAAAGATAAAGGACAAAAGAAATTAGCAATAAAGAAATACATAAAGTAAAACCTCTTTATTTATTCGTGTGGGTTTCTGTTAAATGTTGATAGATGAGCTTACAGATGTATGTTTGTGCACTATATTATGTCCCATGCAGACGGTTAATCTATGTCAAAATTTGCCGATATAGGAATATAGTCAGTACAGTAGTACGTTCAATGCTATGAGGCAGTTATTGAAAAGTGTTTATATTATATTAAAGCATTACAAGTATCAAGACGTCTTTATCCTATTCCCGAATGTTGCCTTCTAAAAATTAAAATTTCCAGAAATGCCATGAGATTCTGGTACACCTACATACAATTCTCTCTCGGCTCGCTTTTTCAAGCAGGAGCATGTACTCGGTCCCGTTAAAAGTATATTATGTCCATGCCTATATAATAACGCCATCTCAAAATTTGTCAAGTAATCCTTTATCGTCAACGTTCTCACAGAGTATGACAAAAAATTGCAGAGTGGGCTCTCTTTTCTTGAGCTCTTTCCCTAATTACTCTTTTCCATTTCAATGTTTGCTTTACTCCAATAAAGTATTACTCCCTAATATATACTTTTACTCTTTGTATTACCCCACCATAGACTTTAACTATTAAAAATATAAATAAACACACTTTTTCACAAAATAAATGTAAAAACGAAATGTAAAATGTTAACAAAATCGCCAGGTAAATATAATAAAATCGATTTAATTATAAGTTTAATTTAGCTTAAATTGACTAATATATTATTGTACGTTGACGCATTGTATGCGAATAGCGTCGTGGTCTACATCACCTTATTCACCCTATTCATGCCCTGCTAGAACCCTGTCAAGGTCCGCGACGGTGCACTGGTTAGTACATCAGGTTTGCTATGGAGAGTTTAAGCAACTCACAAGGACCGGTCGTAGATAAACAAAAATTTTACTCAGAAAACACGTTAAGCCGTTGGTCGAGGCCTGTATCTGTAGCATTTAACACCCACCAATCCGTACTGGGTCCACTTGTTGAGTTATGATCCATTCTTCTTATTCAATGTAATTCCATCTATAGGGAAGGCCTGTGCTCCAGCAACGGGGATAATAGGCTGGTGATGAAGAACGCCGTTCTTTCTTCCTTGTAGGAATCTAATAATCCCATAAAAGGAAAAACCATAAAACTACGTAGACTAAGTACTAATTGGTGAATCAACTGAAGAGCAGCCAGGGCAGGACTAATAATATAACGTTTCCTTCACCAGTTTCAAATAATAATGTTTTGATCACCCATCCTATGACCGGTTCTGGCGATATTTGCCTAAATGCCGCAACCGCAGACCAAAAACAATATCACCACACACATCGACCACATGTCAATACCTACCTCTTAGATTAAACATATCTTCTCCGTCGATTCGGTAGCGTCCTCGCCCCCTCCAAACATCTTCCGAGAAACAAGGCAAGATAATGCAAATATCTAAGCGGTGCAAATATCAGTTGATCAAGCGGTGAATAATATCCAAGACGTAGGCCCAATAACAGGTACTAAAGTAGTGTTGGGGATTAGAATGAGTTCTTAAGTGTAAAACCAGTAATAAAGCTGAAAGAAGATATTATTATAACTATTTCTGATTATGACAAATTAACTAACATTCCAAATGCCTCTAGTTGAAATCAGAATGGTAATAGAAAAAGTGATTTCGCACTATATACACGATTTTGTTATGAAACTTTATATTATATTCTCTCATTTGTGCAATAATAGTACGAGTACAATATTTTTGTCCAAAACTAACAAAATTTCCAACTGATACTTATAAACTTTAATATTTTCTAAACCGTATACAGAAATATATTCTACAATAACTTGATAACCAAATGAAGTACCTAACGCGCTTATCAAATCATCAGCAAGTCTAGTTAAAGTTTTAAAATTATTAATCTGTTTCCTACCACTGTAGTCTTCAACTGGATGACACAACTCTTTTCTTCCTCAATATATTTGGAACAAAAGAGACACAATTCTAGACATTTTAATTCTGGTAATATAAATGCAACTAGGTCAGTAAACAATAAAAGAGTTTTTTATACCACGGACGTTGCCCAATTTAATTAGTTTCTTTTTAATTCCAGTAATATAATCCTTTTAATGCAATGGAATTACAACAGTCTCCTTCAAAAACTTTCATCAAAACACGAACCGTATTACAGTAGGAATGGCAGAACAGACATATCGGTCAAATAAGGCGTAAAGTCTGCATTGATGATGTAAATAACAATACAATAATAACAAACGATATGAATATCCATAATAACACAATGGACGATCTAAATAAATTACCCTTGAATACTTCATTTTCGGAAAATTCTTCGATATTTTTGGTGATGTCAGATCAGCATGTTAGTGAACATTATATGAACGATACCAGCAGTCCTATATGTTTGCAAGTTGCTCAAAATCTTCCCAAGTGGAAAAGAAAATCTAAAAATAACGGTAATATATGAAACTGATATTTTTTTATATTAGAAGTATACTTTTTATTCAATTCTAACAATTTTATCCAAGTACACCACAGTTCGATTAATATAATATGAAACTGCATGCATTTTTAGATTCTGTTGAAATAACATCCAAAGAAGATAAAAAACAAAAGAAAAAGAAGACAGGATTTTCGTCAAGATCAAAGAGCGCCAGTAGCACAAACTTCGTAAAAAACAATCCACAGAAATCATTAAAATTTGATGATGAATACGATGCAACTGAATATTGGCTAGAATCAAGTAGAAAGTTGGTACAGGATAAAGTAAGAGTGTATCACGCTGTGAGTGCGGACACAATTAGAGATAGGCCGTGTTGTTGCACGCCGAGGAGACTCGATATGAATAAAAGTAACAGTTCAGATGTAATCTTAGATATATTATCACCTGTGATGGCAGGCAAAGGTGAGTTTCTATTTTTAAATATACCACCCTAATAACATATATAAAAATAACATACATTTCATACACTGACATTTTTGTTTTATGAATCAAATATACAAATGCGTATATCCAGTTCCTTCCGTTGTCCGAACCAACTGCGCATATTTGTATTATATTATTTGTTGCACCAAAAAATTACCTTTGCGGAGGGCCTCGCTCGAGCACAATGCGGTTGGTTGGCGGACCACTCAATGTTATAACGCGACTGCAGCAGGTGGAACCGATTTTTGGGCGTTATCGGGACCACAAAAAAATCGGCAGTTTTGTGAGTTTCTAAAAAAATAAGTGTAGTGCCGCCGAAGCAACTGCGGCCAAATATCACTCCGTGAGTTATCAAATTGAAGCTTGCAAATCTTGCGAAACAATTCTATTCACTGACGAAATAGTCATCATTTTCTTCTATTTCAGATGCTAAATTATTATTTTATATCAATTTCGTATTAACACTGCCATATTTTATAAATATTCTTAAAAATAAAGCTAAAATAAATCACTTTGTATTTATATTGATATGACTATGTAACGTGGTCACTTAGGACCACTTCTTTATGATTTTTAATGGCTTATTTCCATTCCAGAATATTTTCATTCCAGAATTCCTAAATTCCTATAATATTTTTTGCAATACCGTTTTCTTAATTTTTTCTACATAAATTAAAAATTATAACAATAAAATCATGCAGTGAAAAAAAGAAATTACGGGTATGGTCTACAGATATCCCAATATAAATAAAATACATACATACCTAAGCGGAGGTAAACCTCCACTCACCCTTACTGCGTTATTCAATACTGAATTTGCAATTATAAGATATAAGCTTGTCCAAATTTTATTTAAAGTTTAAAATCTTCAGACGCAGAATTGTACAATAAGTCACTTTTAGCCTTTGCAATTTTTACAGGATTGGAGCTGGAAGAACACGGGCGGAATTATTTGCAAAATTCAGGATCCGTAATATCACCTCAACAAACACATTTTATTTCCAAGAACCAATCATCCATAAAGTTATCCGTGTGCCGTATTCCGCCGTGCAGGCTACCTCCCGAACATCAGATGGATCCATCTGAAACTCTAAACAATAGTTCAATTCCACAAGCCAAATTGTTAGAAATGTTTGAAAAGTTCCGTAAAGAGATGGACAGTTGCCCTCAATCTCCTCGTATGTATACATTATTTCATTTTAGTGCTCTTTACACGAAAATCATCTAATATCTATAGAGTAATCCTTAAATGGAATTTTACAACTATACAGGGAAAATTTATCATCTTTCTTTCTCCTTTTTTAACATGCGAACAATAGAGATAAAAGTATGTCTAGTATATCTTGCTACTTATAATATACCCATTATACACGGAGGTGGATGACCATTTTGTTAATATACCTAGTTAGTTTTCTACTGTTAAAATAAACTAGAAAATGTTAATGAATATTAAAATAAAAAGTTCATTGACAGTTTTAAAATTTTAATATAAAATTTCTAAATAAAATTCTTCGTGAATATGTTCTATTGACTACCTCTATAATGCACTGATACACTATAAAAAAATCTCTGTAATTAAATTATTGTTTACAGAAAAGTCCAACGATAATAAAAAAGATAATTTAGAAGATGTTTCAAAAAAAACATGGACGCCTGCAGACGGCGGTGAACATACATGCGACTCATGTGGGAGACCCCTTGACGGAAAAGTAAAATGTCTTTGTTATGGTAAAGAAGGTAAAAACAAAATGAAAAAAATACGCAAACAACTGTGCCCGTGCAATCAACACACGATGCCACCGGATTTAAAAGAAAAAATAACAGAAAAGGAAACAGAAAAGGAAACAGAAAAAGAAACAGAAAAAAAATCAAAAAAAGACGAAGAAAAAAATGAAGAGAACAAACCAGAAGTAGATCGACCTCCCAAAAAAAGTTGTAAATGTTGCGTGTGTTCAGGAGGCAAAGCTGTAAAGGGGAAAAAATGCTCCTGCGCAGAAAATACTTGTTATGCTGATCAGAAACAAAAAGAACGTTGTGACTGTTCAGACCCAGAGCCTGAGGTAAATATAGACTATGACATTTTGAAAGAAATGATGGAAGAAAAACAAAAGCTAGATATGGAACTTGCTCTAAAACTGAAATCTGAAAATACGGTAAAAGTATCTGGCTTCAATGTTAAATTAAAAAAAAAACCACTTGCCCATCTGTCCCTGGATGAAGCCATCAAATATTTCGAATTGCACCCAGAACAAATACCAGAACCAATCGAAGAAACGGAGGACTGTGTCTGTGAAGATGAAAAAACAGAGAATTCAGAAAAATCGGAGAAATCGGAGGATAAAGTGGAGAATGCAAAACCCTATATAAAACGTAAGTTAACTTGGAAACAGAGACTCTCAGTGTTCAGCAGGAATAAAGAAAAGTGTGAATGCCCTGATGACGAGCCTGAGCCTGAACAAGAATCGGATACTGAGTCTGAATATGATGAATACGAGCCTAGTGAATTTAGCTCATCTTCCACTCCAGCTTCTTCAGCCAGGGACGGTTTTCTTTCCGTCGATGAGCCGCAACCGAAAGGTTTTAAATTCGTCATAGGAGGAAAAGGCTCTGGATCTAAAGGTCTCAAAGGGATTTGTTGTTTTGATATGTTACAAGAGCAACAATTTAAATCGAAATCATCACCCGATACAACGGAATAGAATTAACAATAACGACTATCCATATCTTAAATACTTATGTACAAATATTTTGGGATTTTAATGTTTCTGATTTTAATATGAATTAATACATACTTTACTTTAATAAACTGCACTATAAAGTCTCCAATTTTAAATTGGTGTATTCTAAACTAACACTGTCTGTTGTCACATTTGGCCTTTGATACTTCATATGTATATTTCAATATCCTTCTGTCATTTACAGCCAGTTGCACAAACGTTCATTAAAATTTTCATTAGTTTAAAGCGACATTACCCATACAAATTTGACAATCATTAGCGCTTAAAGGAGTCATTAAACCTTAATGGATGTTTGTGCAACTGGCCTCATAACAGTTAATCCCGCAACCACGCCCGCGTAACCCATGTCACCCATGTAGACGAAAGTTTTTTTTAATCCATCCTTTCGAACAAATCTTTCCTCAAAATAATACTATGTAAAAAATATTGTTATATATAATTATTATATTGTTCAACAAATACAATTAATGTTTGCTAAATTACCGCAAAACTGACTTTACAAATAAATATCTCTTATATTTTTTTGCTCAGTGCAAATTTTATTAAACTGTTTATTGTAAGCACTCCGAATTTTTCACAAAATAATATTGGTGAATAAAAATAAATATTTGCGAAAAGATAAGCCATTATGGTGCCATTATTATACCAGCTAGGTAATCGAGAATAATTAAACAAATTTACGAATAAAAAGAGATGGAGGATGAAAAAAATAGCAGGAGATATAACCGTCTGTCTAACTTCTATATGAGATTATAGGTATGTCTGTCTGTAGACAACATAGGTGTGCAAATGGTGAGCAACATAGATTAATAAAGAGGGTTAATGCCTAATTCTAATGTATTAGGTAATACGAACGTCAAAAAACTATTACAGGTAACATCATTGGTAACATTAGCGTTTTGATATACGCTGTCAAATCTTAGATATACTAGATAATAAATAATCCTCGTAGATATCTATAGTAAATTATTAAAAGTCTGCATTTAGTTTAATAGACTTATAAAAAAATGTTACATTGTTCAGAGCATGTTCGTGGCATGTAGGATGCATTTTTTAGTTTTGATAAATTGTAGTGTTGAAATGTTTTAATCATGTCTTTGTAAAATAAAGACAAGTGGTAGCATATCATGCCAAGTTCAAGCAAAAACTGGCAAGCTACACCGTATTAATAATAAATCCAGAAACAATAAACCTAAAGAATTTTATGGTAAATCATGAACAAGGAGTCCTAACGTTCATATGCAAAACAATAAAAACTGGCAATCAGCAACGCAATAAACAAAACATAAAATTCATTGACACTTTGTCAAGAACCATTTCAAAATGAGTAATAAATAAAATAAACTAAGTAAATTGATATAATGTAAGTGACTTTAGATACTAGTAAATTATAAGTGTTAATACAAAATGGATACATTGAATCGCATTACAGATGAATTTGAAAATATAATATCAATAATAAAAAACAAAAACTCTACGGAAAGAGTTCAAATCTTAAAGAAAGATATCCAAACATTGTTCACGGAATTGGTATTGCTGGGCAAAGAGAACAATGAGCAGTACGTAAGATCCCTCGCTATGGAAGGTTATCTTACACTTCTGTCAACTAAAGTTATACCAATATCTCTAGGTGAAAAACGAAATATTCTTCAAACAGCATACGACAAATTGAAGCCATATGCCCTTCATGATGAGTGCCTCTTTGTTCTACTTAGAATCCAAAACCTCTTATGCTACTACCTTATTCAACTTAATCAGCTTAACCTCGCTCGTGATATATTAGAAAGCGTAGAGGAACTATATGATAAAATTAGTAATACTGAACCAAATAAGTTCCTCGATGCCGAAGACTTGTTTACTATAGAACCAATAAATAACATCAAACGGGTGAACCCTGAAAAAATCGATAAAATTATTACAAACAACGTACAAATGCAAGCATTCCTGTATAACAAACTAAATATACCAGAAAAATATACACTCTATAACCATACTGCGCTGCGCAGACAACTAGAAATGAAAGAAGGAACGCCACAAGACTGGGCTCTGCGTGCGGCGAGACTGGGCAATTATTTTACATATCTCAATGAAATGGGCAACGCTCGTCACCACCTTTGCGCTGCGTATCACGTGTTAAGAACATGTCATGACAACTGCAAGCTCATACCAGGAGAATTTGTATTGCAAAAAGCCGACTTTGAGATGCACTTCTTAGAATTAAGCCATCACTGGGTGAAGTACGGCTTAACTCTGTTCAAATTATCTAAAAAAGTAATACTCAATCGCTACTTCTCTCAACCTACATCCAGGTCTGATCTATGGAGAACGGTTGATTTACTCGAAGATAATCATTTCGAAAACGCCGAGAAATTCGATGAAGATAACTCAAAAGATTCAGGTGCGGAAAAGGAAGATTGCAATGTCAAGAGGGATAAATTGTTTACCTTTCCGTCATTAAACTTAACGGAAACTGAAAATCGAGTACCACTGAAAATGGTGACCGATTCTGAAGAGGCAAGGAAATTGTTCGCTTTCACTCACAAGTGGTTGATGAGAGCGAAACATTATTATGACTTCGAACATCACTCTGCTCAATACATAACTTGTTCGTTGCAACTGGCAGAATTGTATGAACACTTGGCATTCTTCGAAAGAAATATTGACAACCAATACAGTATACAGAAGAGAAGGGCTGAAGTTCTTGAAATCTTGAACACATTGTTGAAGACATGCGATAACCAGATGTCCGTACAAATTGACGTGATCAGAGAGCTGTCGCAAGTGCAGCTGGAGTTGATGGCGTTGAATCTCCAGAAGCTGTGGCGCGAAGAATCGCAGACTAATATATTAAACTTAGACACCGATGCTGATACTATAATCAACTCTCTAGGTTCAGAATCCAATAAAACTTTAACAGAGAAGACTTTAAACGCTTCCAGCAAAAATGCGTTTCTAAAAAAGATGGAAGCGGCAACTGCAATTAACGGGAAACTGTTTCGTCTCAGTGGTCAACTGTCGCCGTCTCAACTGAGCTTCACTACAAGTTTGTTTAAAAATTGAAATATCTAGTGCAACTGTTAAATCAGAAGCAATAAGGCGCTGTACTGATTATTATTTTATTTAAAGATATTTATATATAATAAAACAATTCATTGACTTGTAATTTATGGTATTTAAATCCTTTATAGAGTCCGTAGTCTCATTAATGCCATTTTCGGAATTTCCCCGCTGCCGTGTTACCCCAAAGCGCCCTATATAAACTTGTCGGAAAACACGTCCGTCGAATCGTAGTGTTGTGTATGAATTTAGAAAGTCTTTTTTGTGAAGCTAGTTCTTTTTTAACAGTATTTTTTGGAAGTCGGTTTAACTTTTTAAATTGTTTTTCTCTCTTTTTTTATTTAAAGAGTTTATAATTCGCCAACACAGTCTCTTACTTTAGAAAACTGGATACTTCATCTAAAGCAGCTATGCTATCTGTAATCAAATCAATCTTGGACTCGACGTCGCTTTTACAGAAGTTCAATGAAATAAGTCGTTGATATCTTTTTATAAAAAGTAGACTCAATTTAATAGAACCTCTATGCCCTGACAGCGTTGTGTTTTAAGTCGATTTTGACGCTGAAATTATTATTAGATCCGTATTATTTTGCTCTTAGATGGTACTGGATGTGTCATTCAGTTCCAATATCATTATCAATTAAGTTGTTGTAAAGCCAACTTAATTGTGATAATTTTCCTTTTAACTTCGTTATGTTATGTACTACTACCGTAACGTTTAAATTTTTACCAACGATCGTTTAATTGGTAAAGGGGGGAACACTTGACTCTACCAAAAATTAGCTCTTTAAAGCTTAATAACTCCCAAAGAGTTTACTAAATCAAAAAATGGCCTTCCCAATTTTTTTTCATATTAGTCATAGTGTGGGGCACCTTTGGATAAGACTTTCCAAAACAATTTGTTAAAAGCTAATCTATAAAACAATCGTCGGTAATAATTCAAACATAACGAATAAGTATTTAAAAGAAATAAAGAAACTACATAAAATCATGTCACTAGATGGCAGCACTAATAGTAGGATCTAAACGTCAACTTATGACGTTAAACTAAAGAGAATAGAATTGTCAGTGTTGTTATGGATCTGATAACTCGGATTAATATTGAGTTGAAATTCAATTAGTTCGAGTTACGCAAACGCAACTCGATTAATACGCACGAATATATGAATAATTTTCGTTTTTGTTTGTATAAAGGAAAATGGAAACTAACATAATGGAAGTGAGCATAGAGGTTTTTAAAAGTAATGGTAATCAATCGAATTAATGCTGTGAAATAATTAAAAGTGGCATTTAGCTACGGTATACAATAATATTAACGTGATATAGTTTTTATAAAAATAATACTTATGTCATAGTAGGTATAGGAATTTTTATATTTTTATTTTTATATTAATATCATTCGACATGTAGATGTGTTAATATCATTCGACATGACATGTAGATGCATAATGGCACTTATGGAAATACTACATATAAAAAACAAGCTGATTCAGCGCTCCGCTTTTTGTTCTTGATTCAAAACCTGAATCCGGAGGAATCGAGTCAATTGAAGTTACGTGCAACCAATAAGTTGGCTCATCACAAATTTTGACATATAAACCAGACATAGTTCCTTTACACGTAACATAATAAATAACTTAAACTTACGATTTAAATAAATTAAAATTAATTTGAAAGTTCGATATTATAAGAAACAAGAAACATTTATTAATTTTCGCTACTTAATTTACTTTTATTACATCAGAAACAAATTTTTAATGAATATCATAGACAAGACCCAAACATCGCTAGTTACATCTAGTTTGATTTTAAGAACAAATTTTTATTTTTTAAATATATTCTCACTGCAGTGGCTTTACGAGTAATAGTTGACCAATTGTATTAAACCGAATTAAAAAAAAGGAGGTTATCGATTCGAGGTGTATGTGTGTAATTTAAATTTATACTTTTAGTACGGAACCCGATGCGTGCGAAACCGGACGAACTTGGAGGGTGTAGACTAGGTGACTGCGGTTCAAGAAGATGGGTGATTAAAATGAAAACATCTGATTTTCGCAAAACAAATGTTCCGCCGATAGTGCAAATGCGTTCGCGTCGTAAGTATGGTATCGCGCTCGTTACTCACTCTTTCACTGATAAACTGAGACTGACTCACAAGAAGACCAGTCGGCCGATCGTGGGTGGCAAGCTATGCGTGAGCGCCCTCTTCCTATTGGTCGAACCCAATAGGATTAGAGTAAAGCGCCAGTCCGACATTGGTTTTACACCATCAGCGAAAACAATCATTTATTAGAAACAAATGATCTCTGTGTGTGGCACATACAACAATAATAAAATATCTTATTACTTAAACTAACATACAACATAAATTTAAAAGGAGAGGGCCGATTGTAATACTATCGTCAACAGACGTTTTCTATTATTTTATATGCAAACGATCAGTTGACACAAAATAATATGTGGGCAGGTGTAAAAGTTTGAATTACACATAGCGATGGGCGTTGAGTCAACGGACCAGTTAAATCAATCGTTTACGTAGAATCAACGCGTCGACAGTTAACAGTTTTTTATTCAACTAGTTAATAAGTCGACGTCTTAACGAAGAACACACAGTTTGTGTATCAACATATTACGAAACTTTAACGCATAACTTTATCAAACATTATATAACTTTATTTTAGTATTCAGTTGTTTTTCATTCATACAATTTCGATGTAAATTTTATTGCTGAAATAATTTAAACTCTAAAATCAAAGACAGTAAGTAAATATTTAAACAGTCATGTCTAATACCATCTAATACCGATGTATTATTAATACATAGGCCTTGTTTCAAAAAATGATAAATTTGGTTGTTTTACGTTAGTACCCGATAGATGGTATTATACAATTGTTGACATTGCAGTGTTAAGAATTTAAGAAGAATATTAATATTTAGTATGAGTTAACTATTTTTCACAATAATAAGGTTTATATCTTTTTTTTTTTGCATTCGAATTTCAAAGTGATTCAATAAGTTATCCTTGAGGATAACTTATTGAAATCATATTTAAGTGCATATCTAGAAATCATATTCATAATAAGAAATCATATTTAAGTGCGAGTTGGACTCACTCGCGTAGAGTTCTATACCATTATCTATAAAACGGCAAAAAAAAATCAAATCGGTTGTATTTGTATGGTTGGCTCCAATACAACAGATTTGATTTTTTTTTTAATTGTATTTGTTTAATTTGAATTTAATTATTTATTTTTAAAGTGAATCCCTATATGGCAAAATCTTCTGTATATATTTTAAGCGTCTACCTGCTGCAATTATCGATATCATGTAAAATATTATTTTATTAAGAGCAAATATTTATTCTGTTTTTTAGTTTTGTTTATATATTGGCAACAGAAATTCATCTTATATGAAAATTTTAACTATCTATCTATCAAGGTTAATGAGATACAGCCTGGTGACAGACAGACGGACGACAATTTTAATTGTTCGTGATCTATTTATTTCGATAACTGTCTGGTAAGTAATTATTAAGTATATGATATAATAAGCGACAAGGAGAATCGTTTAAATATTTCATATTAAAATACTTTATTATAATGATATAGGTTGTGTTTTATTGCGATAAAAGCATTGAAATAAGAAATAATTTTTTATATGGAAGTTGTACCTGTAACCTATATTACACATCCATATGCAACAAATAAACAAGAGTTTTTATAATAATAATTATAAAAAATTAGAATACTATTATTAGTAGCTATTGACAGTTCTTGCTTCGATCAAAATTATCGTCTATTTGTTAAAATCTTTACTGATATTATTTTAATTCAAGTAATTACTTCTACTCTACTCTTGGCTGTGTATACGACTTCAGCGCTACCTAACATCGTCAACTTAGGGAGCTTTGAAATGAGAAGTGTGTGTATTGTATTCTACAGGTTAAGCCCGTTCATTTGATACTAACATTGGATGGATATTTCAGAAATATGTACACCGCCATTTTGATACGACGGCCATTTTGACTAACAATAATAATATTAATTAATTACACAACTCATTAATTAAAACGTTATTTTACGTTAGGTTAAGTAATGTGATGTGGTTTTCATTGAATTATCAATCGTAGAGAAATCGTAGTTTTTATTTTCATTATGATAATCAATATATTGATAGCCAAAACTTTGTACTTTAATCGATTCTATCTAATATGCTTTCGACTTTATTTTAAATCAAAATGTAACATCGATTTTTTATCAATCGATTTCAGATGGACTTGCCTAAATCACTAAGTTGTAGAGTTCGAAGTATCGGCCTCTGTTCACGATACTGAATATCGATATCGCTATCGACCCTAGGTATCGATACCCGAAAAGTATCGATACTACTCAGTATCGATACTTTTTTGGAGGCATGATCACGGCATTATTTTAACTACAAGCTGTTTCCTCGCGACTTCGCCCGCGTCAATTATAGCTTACGTCATCCGCGAATTATATAATTTCTCCAAGGTGAAAGAATTTCTAAAATCCACCCAATAGTTTAGGAGCCTATTTTAATACAAGTAAACAAACAATTTAATAAATCTTTCTTCTTTACATTTGCCATGTCACAGATGTAAAACCTAAGAATTAAAGGTTCGAATTGAACGACCAACGATGGTGGGACAGCTTGGATTTTAGCAAGTAAACATTGGTAAATCTTAGTTTTTACTGGAAAATGTGAAGAATATGTATGATGATTAATTATTGTTGTTTCTTGTCCATTATGTTATTTCAAAATATTAAACACGATTTTTTTTCCTAATCAATTCATTGAAGACGTTACACCTTTCTAAATTTCCTATATAGTTGTGACGTAGCGAGCCTCCATTACTCAGGTTATTATCTAAGTCATTTTTTGTTAAATTAAAGCAAATAAATATGTACCTAAGTATCTAACATTATTCTATTTTCTGGATGACGGTCAAATTAGTTTTTATTTTTATTTAAAACCCAATCATCATTCCAATTATCCAACTTCTGTGCTTTACAGTAACACATGGTCTGTTACTATTAAACTGTATTATTTTTTTAAGAATCACCTATATTTAAGAATCACCTATATTTAAAACCGTTAAAAATATCTTAACATTTATTTCGGTACAATAAGTCTGTTTACTTCACCGTCCACGTCCAAGCAAGTTTATGGCGCTCAAACGAACACGTTTCTTTTCAACAAATTAGTTTTTATATATGTAGCTAACGATAGAAATCCCCTATCTTACTCCATTCTTTGTAAACAACTCCTTGAATTTATAAGTTTCGTAAACTAAATTTTTGCTGTAGGTGTTAGAGTTCTTATTGTTTTAGATTTGAAAGGTATTCATGCTCTCATATATAACTTTGTATTTACATTATGTAGCAATTTTAATTGCAAAAATCCCATATTTATAATAAATATCAAAATATCCCATATTTTACATACATAATGCATATGAAAAGCTGCGATTTCTAAGCTGGTAATGGCTTTATTTATTATTTGATATTTTAAATCAAAAGTATAAAATAAAGATTGAGTTGATGTGAACATAAGCATTAAAGTTTAAGAAAAAAATAAATACTAACCGTTCGCAATTACTGGGAAAACTCGAAAAGCAATTGGTTCCACCAGACCAACTGCTAAGTCACCGATCACCACCGTATACATTTTGACCATGGAAAATAATTTGTTTTAAGTAGTGACAAAAAGTACTCGATAGTTAAAAAATGAACTAGTTGATACCGCGACCCTCTCGATACCTTGATTTTCAAGTATCGATACTAAAATATCGAGTATTGAGTGTAAAGTATCGATACTTCATAAGTATCGAAAGTAGACTCCGACCACACACAAATGGACGGGAGGACATTATTATGATTGAAGCTGATCGAAATTCATCGAAAATAAACAACATGAATGTTGTGTTGGTTATTGAATGTTGATTAGCTTTACTTTTAATTAGCACGTGTCGCCAAAATCAAAAACCTTTTTGTAGTAAAAGTAGAAAAGTCTCTATGTTTGCTTTTGAAAATGAGCAAGCAATCTAAATTACCAGCTGTGGAATCAGGTAAGATGCATTATATTATAATACCACCTCGATAGAGCACAAAAGTTACAACTATTTGTTTGTCAATTATTTCAAAGTAGGTACGTTATAATGTATTTACATTGTGTGTATTATGTTTTAAATAATGTCAAGTTTGTTTTGTTTTTATTAGCACTTTTTAGAAATACTCAGTTAATAAATGTTCACAAGTTTATATTTTAAAGGGATAACAAATTACCTGATTAGACACTGAAATCTTTTAAAGGTACAACATCCTGTTAGTACCATAGTAAAAAACTTAAGTTTTATTTATTTCTGTATTAGTAGATGATCCGAACCTAAATCGACCTTCACCAGGTTGATAATGGAATAAAACTTATTGTATAATTAATTTAGTATATTAGAAAATATATTAAAAATGGGTTCGCTAAAAAAATCTTGGACAGAATATTTTTAATTATTTTTTAAAAAATATTTTTTTATTAAATGATACAACATCAAGATAATAAGAAAAATTTTATTCTGACTTAAAGTATAAAACATATAGAATGTGCAGACGTTGGGTTGTCTATTATTTACCTGGACGAACTACTGGGTTGTCAGGTATAAACAGGTATATCAATACCAGTTAATTTCACTTGATTTGATAATAAAAAAATTTTATATCAACATAAGCGCTGTTTCATTACGAACACATTGATATAGGGTTGTATGCAAAATATATCATAGGGTTGTATTCTAATACGGGTTTGCAAATTTTAAAAATTAAAATTTTAACGCGTGGGAAAGTGAGTGACAGAGAGATCCGAGGAAAGTATACCGTGTAATAGTAAAGGACCCAACATTGCAGTCGCATCTGATCGGACCCTGAATATATGAAAGTACGCATGCTCGGAATGTAAAATATGGAGGGTGGAGGTACTACTACCCCTCCGTTTAGTAAACAGTGCACGTTATTTTGGAGCAACTGACATTTTATTTGCAAAAAAAAAGGAATTAAATTCATAACAATCTTAATATATTCCATATAGTGCAAATACAATATTAAGCAATATAACATTAGCTAAATAAATATATATTCATATATATTGACTTATGAGTATAATAATAATTTATCTATAAAAGAATAGTTTTTGTAATTTAAAATATGATGACGTAAATAGTAAAAATATCAATAACTTGCTTTCAAATTTTATTTGTTCTTTCTGGAAACAAATTAAAGAGAAATAAAGTGGACAGCCGAAAATTCAAATTAAAAAATAACAAAAATAAATTGATTTAAGATTTTGTATTATATTTAAAAATGATATTACAGAACAGCATAAGTATTAAAAAAATATTAATGGAAAATAAATTGTAATGAATATTTTCTATTCAATATCTGATTCATCAGAAGTAAAATTCTGACTCTCAAACTCATCAGATTCATTAGATTCTCCCTCATTTACTTCCATTTCAATAATGTCCTGGATTTTCAAAGGAGTTTGATCTCCGATAAAACCTGTTTGTTTTAAAAAACCATCTAAATGCCAACCAAAGCTTTCAGGGTTTAATTTTAATTTCAACCCTATATCAATGTGTTCGTAATGAAACAGCGCTTATGTTGATATATTTTTTTTTTTATTATCAAATCAAGTGAAATTAACTGGCATCGATATACCTGTTTATACCTGACAACCCAGTAGTTCATCCAGGTAAATAATAGACAACCCAACGTCTGCACATTCTATATGTTTTATACTTTAAGTCAGAATTAAATTTTTCTTATTATCTTGATGTTGCAACATTTAATAAAAAAAAATACTGTTTTAAATAATTAAAAATATTCTGCCCAGGATTTTTTTTAGCGAACCCATTTTTAATATATTTTCTAATATACTAAATTAATTATATAATAAGTTTTATTCTATTATCAACCCGGTGAAGGTCGATTTAGGTTCGGATCTTAGACTATATCCTGCATTTAAGCAAGACAGTAAAATACTTAAAATTATTTCTTTCCAATCATGTTGCTAGTGTTGACTGTTAATTGGTGTGAGAAAAGTGATTCCACAAAGATTTTCATATTCATTATTGATATACAAATGTTCATGTTCAATGGTATCTAAATCACTTAATTTGTGGAAAACTGGTCAACTGATGTACCAGAACATTTGACATCATTATCATCCCTATTGAGAATGGAGCCCCAGTACTTCAGAAATGGTGCCACCATGAAATCTGTTTGATATGGGAATTTGTCTATTATAAATATTATCTCCCTGTAAGGTGTACATAAGAAATAACAAAATTATGATATCTGCTATGGAAGGAGAAAGACGTAAATTAACTTATAAAGACAGCTTGTTAACAACTTGTTACAATTCCCTACTATTATAAATTTTAAGTATTTGAGTAGGTGTAATACTGGCTAACTAAAATTTTTTTTCTTTGTAATAAAGTGACATTTTTATTATAAAAAACAAAAAAAAAGGAAAATGGATGCTAGACTCCTGAATGATGTCTAGATATGTCCATGATAGTCACTGTTAACATATTTTTAGACATATTTAGTCTCTTATTATATTTGGTGCTAATAGAGATGTACCAAATATTTTCATATTCAGTACAAGACATATTTCGCATCTTTTTCACAATTTGTATACTGCAGAATTATTCAGTTTTGTTGTAATTAGACTTGAAATCAAATATATTTTAAATTCTTTTAATTTTCAAGGGGTTTTTATTCTTTAGAACATACCAATCCCCTTCTTACCATACTTAAATCTAAATTAATTTTAAAACAATATTTCATAAGGGAATTTTTTACATCGGATATATATATTTTAGATTTTAAGTCAACCTTTTTTTGTCTACATATTAGAATTTGCCATCAGTCCAACCACCGGGACTATTATCAATTAATTTTAAGGTGCATAAAGCCGCTTAGGGAACTGAGGCTATCGCCACAGCTGCCCCACAAAATTATATTACTTCTCTTAAGAAGTAGTAGCCAGTAGCAGTAGCCAGTTTTTGAGTTTCTTTTTAAAACTTAAAATTTATCTTTAAAATCTCTAATTAAAATTTTTAATGAACACACTGGAGGGGCAAATTTACATTTAATAGACACTATAGCAGAGGTACAAAAAGACAGAGCACTTGGAAACACACTGAATAAAATCAATAAAGTAATTATAATTTGGGCCAATATCTGGTTCGGTAAAGGTTACACCAAATACTATTCAGTATTTAGTGAAACCGCTACTTAGCTCTCTAGTCTTAATAAAGAAGTTCTTTCTGATTTTCACATCATTGCTGATTTATGCCCTGGCTAAGAATTATGCCATTGTTCATTGTGTTAATAAAATGTGTTTTTATTTCAGTAAATAATAAAATAACAAATAAGGATGAGGGTAACATTAAATTCAGACCTTCACCAAATCTCATACATATAAAAAAGTATTTCAAGTTAAAATTTGTGGAAGACATGAATTCTTCGTCACCATGTGACACAGAGTGTAAATTAGAAACAAAAAATAAAGTAACCGCAGTTGTTCAACCGCCACTGCCACCAAACTCACCTCCTCCAGACAGTCCTCTGAGCTTTGTTAAGCAGGAGGTGAAAGATGATGAATATGAGCAGACTCCCGAAGAGTCCGTGGAAGAGCCACCACAAATTAGTGTATCATTGCAAGAACCTGAACGCAAAAAGCCGATTATGTGCAAAGATTTTGTACGCAAAAAGTGCACACGAGGTTCCGCATGCAACTTTGCACATCAGATAGATTTATCACAACTCAAAGGGATTTACAAGTTTTGTAGAGATTTTGAAAATGGCAGATGCAACCGACCTGTATGCAACTTCGTCCACGCTACCACATTTGAAAAGGAACAATTCTTCCGGACTGGAGAAGACTTACCTGAACATACATTAGCTCATCTGAAAAATAATCCAGTGCAACCGATGCCAACTGAAAGTAATATATTTCATTATATTCATTTAATTGTATTTTTTGTATTCATCAAAGAAAATAATATATATTTTATTCCTAACAGATATTCATCACAATCATATTTTTTCAAACCCGCCACCACAGCTCTTACCAAGGTAATTGACAATAATTTATTATAAAGTCTGATATTAAATCAGTATATTTTGATAATGCAACCTACCTTTATAGAAGCTTGTATTAATTAAATAAACCTGCATTCTCAGGTGATCATTGTCTTCTAACCAAGTAATGATTTTCACATAAAAAATCATACTCTAAGGTTGCATCAATGGGTTGTGAAAGAAGAACAAACACACTTTGCCATGTATACTGTTACAATTATAGTATTGAAATCTTTGATAGAGCCTTATAAATATTGGTCTTGGCTTACAGCATAGGCACAGCGCCAGTAGCGCCACCGTTTAGTGGTAAAATACCTCCGGCTTCCCTCCCCGCGCCTCGCCCTACGCTCAAGCGTGAGTGGCGTCCTGTCGACGTCTGTACGTATCTTACACGACACGCTTACGCACACGTAATGCATGCTAACTTGGTTAATTGCAGGTTTTTGATAAAAACTATTTGTTATTTTTAATCATATTTTTTAACAATTCTAATTCTATTTTCATGAGTATTAATATCAATAATTAAGGAATCATCTATTATTATTAAAAAAAAATGTATCCTGATGACAGGACAAAATACTGTGGGATCCATCGGTATTTGTTGGATAATGCGTTGCTTTATAATTTTATGCGAATTTCCTTGTTTGATAAAGAAACCATTTTAAAAAGGCATTAAGAAAAATTGTGTGTGCTTTGATTATAAAAGTGTGTGTATTACGGGGCTCTACTGAAAGATTTTACTATAGGCCAGTAATAGTTGGGGAGCCCACGATGCTAAATCGGGATTTATTCGAGCGTCATAAAGACCTATTGGGTTGCGAAGCTTAGATGATAACAAAAAAAAAATTTCATATAATATATACCTTTTCATCGGTGGGGGAAGCGGCTATAGATTTTTAAAAATGTAAAAAAAAACTGTTGTATGGACATACTCGAGCGTGTCAGATATTAATATCATCCATGTCCAACGCATTTTTAAAAACTGTCGTATGTTAATCTAATCGTTTCCGTGATGGGGATGGTTATACGTAAGGGTTGAAAATGAAAAAATAAAAATTTAATCGAGCGCGTCAGATTTTTTGAGGGGATGTCAAGTGAACCTAAAAAAAGCTCTCATATAATAATCTGACGATTTGGATATGACGCAAACGCGTGACCATTATTAGAATGTGCAAAAAAAATCGCCATTTTGAAATACTCAAGCGCGTCAGATTAAGATATATATGGTTCATCTTTATGCCCCAGACGTGATATCTCATAATCTGACGATTATCTGAAGGGATTTACTTAAACTGACACAAAATTTTTTCTTTTTTTTATTTTTTCAAATATTTGAGCTTAATTAAATAGAAAAGCACCGGAGTTAGCATCCAAATAAAAAAGTGTATATTTTTTTTTTATGTAAAATACTTATATTTATAAGAAAATGATTATATGAAAATTTAATTTTTACAGTAATTTTTATTAATTATCATCTTCTAGAATCATCTTCCTCTTCTTTTAATTCACAAAATTTACATTAAAATAAGCAAAAAGTTAGAAATACGATGTAAACAATATCACGCCACGAACGAGTCTGTGTCATCAGCTGTCATGGCGTCATGGCAACCGAAACCAGAGTGGGGACGGAATGAGAGAGAAATAGACAGAAAAAGAGAGAGAAATAGTGATGCGGAGAAGGAAATATAGGTATCACGTAGCTTAAACGCATTAAATCTTATCGATGAATTTTTATTACTTCGGCTTGTGACAATCGTCAGATTATATATTTTTCGTAATCCTTGAATGATTCCCTTCAAAATAAAAAAAAAATAGCCACGCTCGAGAATGTCAAAGTGACGTTTTTTTTACAACTTTGTAGCCTTCCCCCTTCTTTACGTCACTCTCAAATTGTCAGATTAGAGGTATGTACACATTTTAGCATGTAACTAGCTCACCTTACCTTAATCTGACGCGCTCGAGATTTTCAGATGATCAATTTTTTTTTACTAATCTGATCCTTCGTCCTTGCCGGGCGGCCATTTTTATAGGGCTCATACTTGGTCCAGGTACTTAACTGGGTACAAGGTATCCCCCTGTATATTAATCTGCCGCGCTTTAGTAAATCCCGAAATTCCCGCTTGGGCTCCCCTACTATAAGGACAGGAGACGGTGCAAATTAGATAATCAATTGCATACAATATTAAGACGTATAGAACACGGCGTACGTTTGTTTGCCTTAGTTAGTTTTTCATCCTCAGTTTTTATGTTCACAAAACTTTCAATGGTGCCCATGTTATGGGAGACTGGGGCTCGTTCTAACAAATTTTGAATTAAGCGTAATATTTTCTAAACTACTTTAGCAAGAAACATGGTTTTTTGGCACATGATGCAAAATTTTATGAGCTTTACGTAAAGTACAACAAAATGTATATAATAATTACCATATCTGAGAAAAAACGAGTTTTGGCAAACAAGTCACTTGTTAGATCTTACCCCCGGTTTGGGGTTGGTTTTAACACTGCAGGGGAAAGTTTTAACAGCGGGGGTAAGAAATAACATGTAGTTGGGAATGGGATTTTGGTTAAGATAAACAACAAAATAATAATATTTTTAAACTCACACGATTTGTATACATTATAATTATATGCAATCGGGTCTTGTTCGTGCATTTTTTAAAACAATTAATTTACGTAGCCGAAACGTCGAGGTAAATTAATTGTTTTAAAAAATGCACGAACAAGACCCGATTGCATATAATTATAACAAAATAATATTCAATGTTTATTAGAAACACAAATAAAATTAAATGCGGTTCCTTACCGTTCATAAAATAAACAGAAAACAAAAATTATATTAGTTAAACTGACTCACTCAATCAGCATTACTCAAATCAAAGAACAAAAAATAATTTTTGATCATCAAATGATCATTAACAATCCAAATAAAATTAATTTCGGCTCCTGGCCGTTTAAACATGTGTAATAAACTTAAAACTTACTAAATCTATCTTTATCAAATAAAAGAACAAAACATTACTCCTCTAATAAATCAACATACAACTTTGGTTATAAAAATGAAACTTTCTAGTCAGTCTTACTCAACCTACTTTAGTCAGTCTTCAAACCAGTGATAAAAATTAGTTATCGTAGTCAGAATCTGAGTTGCAGTTAGTACAAACATAAGCAACTGCATCGCCTTTTATGCAGGTTATATGCGACCATCCTTTACAGGATATACATTCGACCCAGTCCACACCACATATATCTTCAGAATATGATGAGCCACAGCCTAAGCAAATGGTCTCATCCTCATCATCGTCGTCTTCTGAACTCTCTTGTAATACTTTCTTTTTCACTCTATCCTTAGGCTGTTTACTGGACTTCTTTTCTTTTTTTTCCACTTTACGTTTCTTAACTCTTTGTTTTTCCTTATTGACTTTTACATTCGCAGTAGATTTCTTTTTGTTATTCTTAGCTTCTTCTTCTAAAGCAGTCTTTTCCGGAGTGTCGGTTAAGATTGCGCACTTTCGCTTGCGAGCTCGATTAGACTTAGAGCGAGGGGCCGCTTTTGGCAATGGCCGTACAGCTTCGGGACTAAAGAATGTTGATAAATCTGCAGTTGATGTACCAGGAACTGGACTCCTTGACATTTCCTCAATAACTGCACCCACGCTGATATCAAGATTAGGCATGCTTCTTTCGATTTCAGGTATCAAGGACGCTTCCAGACCTAATGTTAGGCTAAGATTCTCTGGTGTTAATTCGTTTTGTTCCTCAGTTTGCAGCAATGTAGGCGATGGGTTACCTAAAATGTCTTCCTCATTTTGCTGAATCGGGGGAATCGTGACAATAGACTCAACGGGCGCTGCATTAGTGTTGTCATTCGGCTGGGATAGAGGCATTGGCCGATATGTTACGAAAGACGGAGCAAAGTCGTCATCCCCAAAAACAAACTCATTGCATGGCCAGATACCAGCTTTTCTAAACGAGTGAGCAATGTTGTTCGGGGTGAAAGCCAATGGAAATGCTTCTTTTACAATTCCAGGCACGTCATAAATGGTCATCGTCTTTCCAGGATTATTAATCATCCAATTAGTTTGTAGTCTGGCAACGTAATTCTTCAGGGGTCCATAAACTCCGACATCTAATGGCTGCAGCTTGTGCGAACAGTGTGGAGGATATGAAAGTAGGATCACATTATTTTCCTTCGCTTTATTTATCACCGCCACATTTACATGCGAGTGATGATTGTCCAAAAAAAGTAGTACCGGATCATCTTTAGTGGGTTTCACGTGTTTTATGAAATGATCCAAAAATATCAAAAATTCTCTCTCAGACATCCAGCCTGAACTGTTACCGGCGCCAATAGCTTCAGGCGGGCCATTTTTAATGAAAATGTCATTATATCGGATTCGTGGAAACACAAACATGCAAGGAATGTGGTTACCTAATGCATTTGCCGCTGCTGCCACAGTTACCAAGACGCCCCTTTCGGCAGATGTGACTGCTCCAACTTGTTTTGAACCGCGCTGTGCGACGATCTTCTTTGGTTTCTGTACTGTTGTGACTCCCGTTTCGTCAACGTTCCAAATCCTACTTGCACTTAGATTGTACCTCTGAAGAATTTCCTTGTATTTTGTGAAAAACTCTTCCACATTTGTTCGGTTAAACGATGTAGCTCGACTTAAACTGGTTGCTTCCGGGCTTCGCAGTGCCAAATTTGGGTTCCTCTTCAAAAATGCTGTAAACCAGTCATTACCAGCGGACTTATTTCTTGTCCAACTTTCAGGAATGTTGGAAATCTTGTGATAAACGGCAATTTCATACGCCAGTTTTTTGACTTCACTAGGTAGCAAGCCAAAATATATTACAGCACATTGTACAAGATATTCTGCTAACTTCATTTCTTGTTGTGTATTAAACACTTGTCTATTTTTTTTTATATCCCAGTTCAACCGATATGCCTTCTTTATTCTTTTTCATAAATGTATGAAGTGTTACATGGCATATTTCGAAACTTCTAGCTGCTTCCCTCAGACTCTTTTTATTTTCCAATACTTCCTTAGCTGCTAGTTCATAGACCTCTTCCGATGTACTTCCACGCGTGGTTTTCCTTTTATAATTTCTCATCCTAAAAAAAACAATAGAAGTTTTATAGGTCAATCCATATCGCACACAATATTAAATAAATAAATAAATAGTGGACAACATCACATACATTGCTCCGATCCCTTAGTAAGTAGGTAGTGTTATGGAAATCAGAAACAACGAAGATACCACAACACCCAAACCCGAGACAATGTAGAAAACTTATTTTTCTATCGCCCTTTAACATTTTGCGAAATGGGATCGCAGTTGGGATCAAAATTGCAACCTCGTCGTATAGAAACAGTAAGAAAAATATTACTTACGTTTAAATTTTTTCAACTGTTAAAACCTGCCCCGTGTGCGAGGCAAATATTAACGCGTTAGAACCTACCCCGTTCATTTTGTTAAAACCAACCCCACGGCCCCATTTTGTACAAAGTTACTGTTATTTTTTACCGGTTATGTTCTCGATTATAACTTTAACATTAATGAAAAATACAATAAATACGGATTTATGCAATACCAAAACCAATTTTCTACGATACATATTTAAAGAGTAATGCAAAAAAATAAACACGTAAAAAAGTTCATTTACCTGTAAAATTAGAGTCGTCTGACACAACCTGCTCCCGTGACGCTGGGTCGGCAACTGACAGGTCGAGACACGTTCGCGCGTATTCGTAGGCACAAAGTGCGTTGGAATTAGCGTGGTAAGTCGAATAGGTTCTATGTAATTACGCTGTTAGTATTTACCCCTGTTAAAACCAGCCCCAGGGTCCCCTATGTATATGTATGTCATGGACCGAGTGATTAATGAAGCGTTATAAAAAAGGCCCGCGCAATGGGAATAATGACGAATATGTGATGGAAAATTTTGAAAATTTACCGGGCTTTATTTATAAGTGAATTCATTGCTTTTATATCTGACACAGACTTTTATATATTATTTCAATAATCTCAGCACACTTCTTATATGATCATTTGTATTCCGTCTGTCTATCAAGACTCTTTTTATCGCGAGCGTAGATATCGAGTAAAATTAAAACCATTTACATAGGTCTACAATCCATTGGAGTTGTGGACAATTGAACCTTCTTAACTATCATGAATAAAAAAATTAATATGTTTTCACACGGGACTCAAAATTGACAGAGTTACTTCTCATTGAACTATGGAATACATTTGTAATTTTTTTTTATGTTTTTTCATATGGAGATCAAATATTAAAAAAAAAAAAATCTATCCCATAATATTTGTTAAGAACCCTCGATGGATGGATGAAGATATGAAGAACGTGATAGATTAGAAATTTAAGATGATCACGAAACGTACCATCTTAAATTTCGAAGTGACAGTTTTCAGACCACAGTAATCAAGTGTCTGTAAACCACATCGTGTGTATTTTATCGGACTTCCTGAGCAACACTATGACCAAGTGTTAATAATGTGATAAATATGTATGTGTAAATAGTAATTATTTATTTTACTCTAAGTATACCTACCCATAACATTTATAGAGGTGCGAATGTCTTTATAGCGTATTGGTCTTGTCTCTAGTTACCAGTACCCACCACGAGTGCGACTTCAAAGAACCGCCTGCCAAGACATGCAATAGATGCAAGCTAACCAAACTCAGGTAAACGTTCACCACACTGCATTAGTGACCTTCTCTGCTCTGCTCTATATTACTGCCACTTCATTATGTTATAAAACACACAACAATCGTTCAATAATATTAAATTTAGAAGAATTATAGTGTATAATTTAATTTTCCAGCACTTGTCTGTTACGTTGGTGTATACCATCATGATACCTATGTAAATACGCCGCTTTCGGTGCCATTGACTGTTTGCTTTTTGTTTACATATGCATTGAAATTATGTATTTCAAACGTACGACTAAGCCAATTAAGTTACCTATTATAGTATTTTTGTTTTCTACATATTTTTCATAGTTACTCTATGTAGTCACGTGTACTCATATCGCTGTTGCGCTCGCACAGAGATGCAACTAGCCAACTTTGTCATAGTAAAGAGAGTTTTTCCTGGTCGGCGACCGCGCTACACTTGATATTGTGTCGAGTGCTAACTCGTCCAGAGTGGCACGGCTCGTGTACGGTGTACCGCTATAGTGACATGTTACAGGTTAGAACACAGCAAGGCTCAGGTCGCTCAGGCCATGAGGGGCTTGCAGGAATTAGACGAGAAACTGGAGCACATCAACAAGAAAAATAATCGTTTACATAGTATTTTACGCGTTCTTCTAAAACCCAGGGTATGTGTTGAAATACAATATTTGTACGGTACAATACAAATTATATTCATATCTTTATTCGTGCTATATATACACTGATACAATAATGTAATTGGTCACCGTTACGCATTAAAATATGATAGGTCGCATAAACTTGTAATAAAATATTTCTGGTTGTATATTACGCCAGTACTGTCAAAGCTACTTGTCGCGGGTTTTGATCAGAAGCCTCAATATATCTATAACGATGGGATCATGACCTACCTACAAGGTGACAAAAAGTTGTCGAACAAAATGGTACCTAAATACTTTATTTAATGTAAATAAACTTTATTAAAAAATGTTTAGAATTTTCATATAAAATGCGAAGAAACCTTTTTCCCCGATGTATTAGGTATAACTTATAATGGGCATAATCAGGGGAAAGTGTAGAATTTCTTGTCGGTCCTTCTCGGTACTCAAGAACCGACGGCGTAGAGTTTAGACTCACAACATCCTAGACTGAACGAACGTTTTTCATTTGATCTGAAAGTGGTCATAGGTAGATTAATATTCCATCCCCTGTGTATAACATTCGTATAGCGCACGTTGGAGCACGTGAACAACGAGTTCCTGACCCCGCCCCGACTGTCCACGTGCACGTCGCCGCTACAAGAGGACGCCAACAAGAAGGCGTTACTAGCGCAGGTAACTCGCCTACAGACACTAAACGCAGCTGACTACGTGTTACATAATTAACGCAACTCCTGAAACTGGTTTGTTTATATCAGATACTGATTCGATTTCAACAACTTCCGATTTAGGTTTTTTTTTTTTGCTAAATTTAATTGGACTCGAGTAAATCATGGTCACCCCGTAACAATTACAGCCGTCACTTTTTAAAATGCACTATATTCTCAGCTTGTAATAAAATACAACATAGCTAAGAATCATAATTACTTACTAAACTTAAAAAACACTGAATCTGAATACGCAGTACCTACGTATGTACATATTTTTGTAGTTGTACAATCGTGGTCAAGCGTGCCTATCCACCTTAAGGTCGTGTTTCCCGTGCGCTCACTTTGTATAGTTTGTACGGGGCGGAGTTTGACTTTTTTTTATTTGGCATTCATGAATGGGCAACGATAGTTGGATGTGATGAATGAATAGTGCATATAATTTAACTTAGTTTTATATTTGTTTAGGATCTAGACAATGGACGATTCATTATTATGTGTTATTTAGTCCTCGTATAAGTTTAAAGCCAAAACCAGTTCCTGTGATAAGCGCGTTCAACCAAACAAACAAGAAATATCTTAAGCGTCTGAATATTATCAGTATAGATTGATTATAATAAACATATATAAAACACTATTTTTAATTTACAATAATAATAGAGAAAGAAAGAAAAATATTTAATAATAGTAATTATAGTTAGCAAAACTATCAATTATAATATGGAAAGTTGTAGCTTCTATACAATAAAATTACAGATTATTGATTTTTATAATATACTGCAATATTAATTGTGTCTCATTCGTAAGTAAAAAATGACAATTTAAAAATAAGACATTATGTGTAAGTTAATCTACCACTTTTACCATCGTACAAACAATACAAGTTCTTGAGCTACAGTTATAAAGTTCAATTTTCTTCATTCTGTTTCTGCATTGTTGCCAAGCCGCCACAAGTATATTTGTAATGGCTTGACAACAATGCAATTGCTTAACATCTAATATTTTGTATCTTTAAGTATTTTGTCGGATAGTTCTGTAAGAAACTATTTGTTAAGTTTCTTTCGTTTAATCCAGTTTAACTACTATCTTTACTACAACTAACCTAAATACTTTAAATTTACACAATCATAGTTGTATTAAAAAGTAGAAATGCCATTCATTCTGAAATAAGATTAATCTGCTTTTTCATTTTTAATAATTGAAATAATATAGGTAATGCAATATTATTACTCCAAATATTTTACTGAAAAAAAGTATTACATGCATATAATAATTTAAATAAATTTATTACATGATCGAAATTTAGAGTAAAAGTATTTCTTTAAGCTGTTTCGATGGATTGTCTGAACATTGATGAAATACCATCACTAGTAGCGAAAGTATAAGTACTTAAGAAATTCGATAGACTCGTCTAGGACAAAAGGAAGGTCTAGGACAGCTCAAACTATTAAAAATTAATTTAATATTTTAATGCGGCACCATTGGCTTCTATTACTGCGTCCAGTCCCGATCGCATCGAGAGTACCAAGTTTTGACAAAGGTCAGAACCCCGTAGCGACTCCCAAACTGTTTCACAATCAGTGATGAGTGCCTCCCTCGTCCTCTCGTTTCTATTGTCCCACCTTTGGACCATTACTTCCCACATATTTTCGATGGGGTTAAGGTCCGGGGAACGGGAGGGCCATCGCACGGTTCGAATATCTGGCTGTGCCTCTAGCCAGTTTTGAACCACGCGAACGGTGTGGATTGGGCAATTGTCATGTAGAAACATTAGCTCTGGAACATCCGATTCCGAGTAGACTACCCGAGTGGTGGGAATTAATGTCTCCTGTAGAAGTTCCAGATATGACTGCCCGCTAGCCCTCCCAGAAATATGGACAAGTTCCCTCGGACCAGCGGCACTCATCCATCCCCACATATTAGTACAAATCCGCCCAGATTCATTATTAGAGTTAACGTTACGGGGCTCGTACCATGTATTATCTACACGCCATAAATGCTGATGGCCTAACTGGCAAGACTTAAAACATTTTTCATCGGCAAAATAGCGTGTGAAAAATCAAAGTCTCGGTACTCTCGTGCAAATCGGACTCTATCAATATTGTTTTGTTCGTTCATTTTTTTTTCTGTGATGAATTCCTGCTCTGTGGAGGGTTCTCCGTATCGTACGGACGGAGCAGTCAAACTCTTCAGCGAATGTTCGCGTTGGAGTAAAAGGCGCAGTCGCATAAACATTAACCATTCGCTGAGACTGCTCCGCCGATATTAAATAGGAATGTTCGGGTTGTCTTGATCGGGCGTCCACGTGTCCTTCTTCAAAACGATTGACCCAGAGGCGCACAGTAGGTCGCTGCAACAAAATAATTTATTAAAATAAAACTTCAATCTATAATATTTTACTTTTGAACGTATTTAAAGGCGTTATTTATGTAGACGTTATATACTTATAAAAAAGTTCACAGACAATCATAACTAAATGAAATGAACATTGCACATAAAAACCCATTTTATCCGGCAAAAGTAGTTTTATTTAGTTTCACATTATGTTAGTAAATCTTTTTTGCTGTCGCTGAAACAATGTTATCCAATTAATTATGTATCAGTCAATAAGTAAAGCTTGTTACTACTACTTTACTTTACTATTCTATTAGATGCCTCTTCTGCTATAAGAACCTAATAAAAAAAAAAAACAAAAATAAAACAATCACACTATTTATATATTTTTACATTAACTTTAATTCGTTATTTTAATAAATTTATTTTATTGCTTAATTATCAAGCGCATCTGAAAATAACGCAAATGCAGGGCCTAATATATTAAAATATTGAAAGATCAATTTATCAATTAGATTTTAAAGATCAATTAATTTCACAGTAAAATACAAAAATAAAAATATTATAATGAATTCTTAATATTCAAACCAAATATTTAAAATACCTAAAAAATTATATTAATGAACGTAATAAATTGCATTTGATCTTTTTTCATCAACTTATTTGGTAGGTGATTCTTATAATTAATTATCACCAAAAATGGTTTAAAATCAACTGAGTTAACATATTATTTTGTTTGAAAGAACTATCGTTCCAGTTCAACAAATTCATACATTTTTTAAAAATAAAATGTTACTTTTATTTTTACGATGTTGCCAAGTTTCTATAGCCAGTGTCAGAACAGTAATAACAAAATTCGACCTTACGACTGATATCCATGAACTAATATTGTTTGTATGACAGTAAAGGGGATAGCTAACAAGAAGCGCGCCTTTGATTTTCGCCTCGTCTTTGTCGGCAACCACAAGAGTTTTTACGTATGAATTTTTTTTTCACACGGCACGGCGCCATCTTTCTAGAAACAAAGCGGTTTGGCAACATCTTGAATTTTGAGTGAACTTTATATTTTTTTACAATTTTATTATTGATTCTTTTTGTGAAATAGGAATCTTTGATCACATGACACTAAGGAATTACTTAAAAACAAAACGAAATGAAAATGAGAAATGAGTAGTGTAAAGAATGATATTAGAGGTAGTTATAAGTTATAACAGTATTGGCATAATAATCGTAAGCTAATAGAAATATTTAATTATCGAGGAACTCTTCAAACTACTTACCTACTCTTTATGAGAGAGATGTAGAGGAAAAACGTTATTCCATTAATTTCTAAGGAAAGTAAAAAATCCATTTGATCTGATATAATGTTATAATCCCTACTAAAATTATAAATGCAAAAGTAACTCTGTCTGTTTGTTATGCTTTCACGTCTAAACCACCGAACTTATTTTCATGAAATTTGGTACAGAGTTAACTTTGAGAAAGTAGGCTACTTTTTATCACGAAAAAAGGGATTCCTGGAGACCACGCGGGCTAAGTCGCTGGTGGAAAGCTAGTACAATTATAAATTGTAAACAATAATAATTTAAATATTTAATTTGCAATGACAGTTTGTATATCTAAATAAGCAGTAAGTATGTTACACTTACCGTCAATCCCAGCTCTCTGGATATTTCGCTAATATTTATTCCATCTTCACATAATGCGACGATACGACTCCTCTCTTGTACCTATAGAGAGGTTCCTCGAAGACATGGTCCAAATTCAAGCCAAGGTCACGTTAAGCAAATCAAAAGTCCAGTTTCTAGCACGGTGGTCAGGTATCAGTCCAATGAGAATGCGGAGGTTAAAAGAAAATCCAGAGTGAGCACGTCAACAATTAGCAATATGCAAAGAGCGACTAAACTAAAAACAACACTGTTATTGCATTTGTTGCATACGTAGAGCCATGCTGATTGGTCATAGTAAAATACTACGACCAATGAAGATGCGCCCGTAACTCCGCCCCCTAAAATTGCATCAAGTGTGTGCCAAGCGAACGAGATTTTGAAGTGGATAGGCACGCGAGACCGCCACTGTACATAAAATTCGTTTTTTATTATAAATTCAGGATGTGCGTTATTTCTGCAACACGCTGTATAAATAAAATTTATCACACAAATGATAGATTTAATTCTGTTAAGATCATAATGGATTGTTGTATTTGTATTATTATGTTTCACATAGATGAAACTGCTCCTTACGAAGATCTTGTTGGGTGGCGAAGAGTCCCCGGTAGAGGGCGCCTCTACCGGCGCCTAATTGAACCCCGCGTCTCCACGACGATACATCGTGGTAAGTCATTATATAATGTAACTAGCTGTTATGCCGCGACTTTGCCCGCATTAAGCATTAAAAAAAATCGATCCAGTGGCTTCTGAGCAAAGAAACAATCGAAACTTTGCGCCGCGGCCCGCCCGTCGGTCACGGGATGGGTGACCAAAAAATTATTATCTCGAGCTACTCCGTGCTTCGGAAGGCACGTTAAGCCGTTGGTCCCGGCTGCATTTGCAGTCGTTACTACCCTCCAATCCGCATTGGGCCAGCGTGGAGGGTCATGGCCCATCCTCCTTAACCATCCATAAGGAAGGCCTGAGCCCCTGCAATAGGGACGTAAAAAGGCTGATGATGATAATTCAAGGACTTTCATTGTATATTAATTTCATTATATATAATCCATTACGTACTTTAAATAGATAAATAAGTCAAATGTTGCACAAATGTCAATTAACGTTTCAAATTTGAACATTTGTATCGGAAATATCGCTTTAAGCTAATGACAATTTTGATAGACGTTTGTGCAATTGGCCAAAATGGTTATTGAAACACAACAATGGAGAACGTACGAAGGTGACAATAGCAGAAAGCGTGTGGTTGTAGTTTACTGAATTAAAGTTAGATTAGATTTAAAAAAATCGATATTAGACAAAGCTATTTTGAGATTCAATTATACGTTTATATGGCTATGGCTAGACACTGTGGTTGAGTTTCGGGTCACGTGATACACGGACAAAACTCTAATTCAAAATCATAATATATGTGTTTATTTAAATGTTAATGTTAGTTTGTAAATGTTAGCAAACATTGAGAAGATCTCTTGTATTTAGTACGGTATTGTGTGGACGGCGTTGTACGTAGAGTAACTAGTTCTCACTTGTATATGTTCTTGTCACAGGCGACGTGGTGAGAGCGAGACGGCAGCATTACACCCGTCGCCGTCACCGGCAGAGGTCGTACTTGCATAGAAAACAACAATATTTTTATGAAGCAATCCGCGTTGTATGAATAATGGGTATCGCAGAGCTTACGCTGTTTAATTCATTTAAACAGGATATATATTTTACTTGGGCGACTACCCTGTATATATTAAAACTTTGAATTTAAGTGTTTTTTATGTCTCTAGGATGGTTTTTCGCAAAAAGTATTTCACAAAAAAAACATTATCACACAATTTTGCAGAAGGTCATTCACAAAGTTACGTTGTCTGTATATAAATAAGTAGAACTGATGCTAACAACTAAGCAACCCTGCTTAAAAGTTAAAAGATCGTGGGCATACGAGACGGCGGGACCGAACTTTCAAATTAAAATAGAATGCATTTAGATTACATGCTGTGTTTGTACTATTTGTATAGCACAAGATACATTTGTTAGGCAGAAGTTAGTCTTCAGAGGCACTCTGACGACAAAGTGGCATGATCGGGAGGAACCCGTCTTGGGTGCAGGTAAATCATACGTGAAATATTTCTACTTCATATGTCTGTACTATTGTACCAAATTGTAAGGGACAAATTAAAGTTATGTGATTTTATCTTCATGATATTAAGTATCAAGATTTCGTGACTAACGGTCAGTTGCACAAACGTCCATTAAGGTTTAATGACTCCTATAAGCGCTAATGAATCTCAAATTTATATGGATAATGTCGCTTTAGACTAATTACTATTTTAATGGACGTTTGTGCAAATGACAGTAAAATCAATAATAAAAAAGGCTTTGAGAGATATTTTACGTAATTTATTTAACCACCATGATCAATAGACAGAAGTTAAATAAGGTCCTTTTTATGGTATACTTTGTGATAAAATATCAATAATCATGTTACTCTTAAGACTGACGGCTAATTTGCTACATTTCCACTTAAATACCTACTGCTATACTTAACTGTTATCATTTAAGCTATCTATTAAACAAATTTATGAGTATTTGACGAACTTAAATGATTTAATAACTATTACAATAAAAGTGTGCATCTTAAAGAACCCAAAGAAGCAGGGTTGGATAGTTTCGGCACGATCCTCATGTCACTATAACTCTACCAAATTTAAAACGTTGCCTCACCCTTCAAACGTTTGGGCAGAACAGTTTTTTAATTTTGTCAGACTATATTGTATTCATAATTGTTAAAATACGTAATCTGGGATTGTCATCCGTTGTGAATGCTACTGCCTTTCTAGTTGTTTCGCCGTTTTCCGTGATTAAGTTGTTATTGTTTTATTTTTATTTTGTTGTAGTGTTGTATATGTTGTTAACTTTTGTTAAATATTGACGACGCCGGTGCAGGTCCGAGTGGCTTACAACAATTAAGCTTTAATCCCCATACCGACCTTTCTTCAACCTTTGGACAGTTCAGAAGTTTATCTAATGTCTTCATTAATAGTCTAATGTCTGAATAGTCGGAATAAAAGTAATAATAACAAATTTCATTTTGTTTACACTTTCTTTCCTGGGCATGGATATAATAAAATTCTATTCTAATTATATGCACTTACAATTAAATTTATCAAAACAACAGATAGATAGTTTTAGTTCCATGTTGACTTGAGAGTGAAAGATGAATTAAAAAAATGCTGGCCTCATCTCAACTCCGAGGTATCGTAAAAAATGGAAAATTGCCCAGCTCTTTCAGACAGACGTTCAAAGTTTCAACAAAACTATAATATATTTTTTTAATTCATCTTTAAAATAAAATGTTCTGCGCTGCTGCTTTTATGACCCTCTTTTTTCTAATGTTATAACGAATGGAGTATAGCTGTGGCGCTGACGGACTGACATCAGCCCAGCAGCCCCATAAAAACTTGTTTATGTATAATTATGTATATATGTATTAGTACATATATGTATTGCAAATATTCCAGTAAAATATGACAAACTTACATCAGAGTTACTTTTTCTCTCGGTCCTATCACTCTTGACGTCAAAGTGGCAGGACCAGTGAACTATTGCCGTCCTGCTTCAGCCTTCAGAGGTATAAATATCTTGTTTTATGGTAGTAACGATACGTAGTAATGCAGCCGCTGCATCAACAAAGCTTGTCAGTTCATATTCATTGATAAAGTACGGTCCTCTCATACGCCGCCCCCCCCCCCACACACACACAAACACACATACAGAGACTGTCGTTGATTCACCCATAGAAATAAAGATGACAAAATTAACCCTATTATTTAGTTGTTAGTAAGTACGCAAGTTCATATGACACGAATGATTGAATTATAATTGTGCACACAACGACGCGTCGTGTTGCTACGTAATCAATTTTGTGCTTAATCAACAAATAATTAAAGCTCAAACTCAAAATTAAGTGGTAACATGACGTGGGATGCATATTAAAATGGCGGTGTAATAATATTGATAATAAAATACAAATTAAATATATGTATGAATGCGTGTTTATTGTAAAATATTATTTTGATGGCGAGTTTTTAGATGTTTTTGACGAAATAATTTTTATGTATTAAAATCTATGATATGCGTTAGTGCGACTTTAATGCCCCCTGGCGTGTTGTTATGTCATTTAATAAAGATGCCTACGCGCATTCCCACTAGTTCACTTAATTAGTTCAACCCGTTGAAATAATGAGACTTTTACTCCCCGTAATTCAATTATGTACTAATTCTTTAACGGTAGAACTATGTACTGGGATTCGTGTTGTTTGTTACCTTTGAACGTTTGTGTTTGTGCAATAGATTTTTAAATAATATAAAACAAAAAATAAAATACAGGAAACAAGAAAACGATAATCCGAGTATGTTTTAATTTAAAATTTTAGATTCGTTTAATTCGAGTAACATGTTAAAGTGTCAGCATAACTGGATATTTTTTTCAAAGGTGCAACAACGCAGATTTACTACTGGGGACAAGGAGCCCCGGCACATAGTTCTACCTTTAAAAAAATAGTACATAGATGAACTAAAGTCTCATTGGTTCAACCGTTGAACTAATCAGCGGAACTAGTCGGAATGAACCTTTAATTATCCAAAATCACCTTATTAAATGAGATAAAATCTATATTTTGACAATTATACTAAAACAGATAAATTCCGAAAATATTGCATGAGATTTGTAATTAACTTCTTATTTGTATTTTGCTGATCGGAATTTTCTGTTTTAATAATTACTGTTGTGTATTTTGTAAAACTTATTCATTATATTTGATTTGATAAAATAATGTAATTTTAAATAAACATATTAATTAATAACAGCCATAAGTGTATTTATTATAATTACAAAATTAGGTGTGCGTGTATCCTGCTAATTTTACCAAAGCGAATGTTTTATACTATTGATCTATTATTCGCTGAATCTGTTTCAGACTATTAGTAATTGGGCCAAAATACTTTTATATGCCTAAAAACCTGTCCCTTTGAACTAATGTTGAATTTTACGGTAAAACACTACAAAAGTGTAAAATAAGTATGCTAATTTCAAAATATTACATTATTGTTTAATACAGAACACAAGATTTGACCAGTAAAAATACATCATTATAACAAAAAATATAGTAACAATGTTGTCATTCTTAGTAACGCATTTGTTCTTCATACAAAATACAGTTGTCCTTGAGCACATGTCTCAAGCTTCTCTGGATTTTTTTCCACAATATTTCCTAGGTGGCGATTCATAATGAATTCCGCTTTAAAAATTTAAGCCCTAAACCTTATTTATAATGCCAATAAATATTTTTTACATCAAAAAATTATTGGAGTAAAAAATTATTTTGACTGTGTCCCTAACAAATACTAAAATCGTAACTACCTTGCGTTGCTATATGAAAATAAACCTTTAAGTGAGTGTATTACCCTTTTTTGCACCTTATTCGGCTTTACATATTGTAACTCGTATAACGAACGATGGCAACCGCGGGGGAAGAGGACGCTCGTCAGATCAGTCGCGTCGGAATCGCCGGGAGAGGTGCGTGTATTTATTGCGTGGCCGCTGAGTTACCACTGTCGAAAGGATACGTATTGACAATATTTACA